AAAGCAAATATTTATTTCAATGGTTAGATTAATATGCCGAAATGTAATGCCATTTATTATGTAAAATATTGAGGATGATTAGATCTTTTCTTATATTGTAACTACTAGTTATAATTTAATTACAAACTACTGCAATGTGCTATCGTAATGCATTTGCAACATAATCATATAGTATTACAAGCTATGCCAAAATCAGCAATAGTCAAATAATAAAATTTAGGTGCGGTAAGTTTCCTATTTTTAGCTATTAAATATTGTGGTCTTCAATCTCCTTAGAATGCTAATATCTTTGAAATTATTATAAACTACTGCATTAATCAGACTCTGAAGAAATCAGTTTAATTTTAATGCAAGATATTTATCGATAATAACAGCTATAATCAGGGAATATAGAAAATATTAAGCCTATCTATTATAATGTTCATAAGGTTTCAGAATAATTAAGAATCATAAGTTACATATGATACAGATAACATGGTTCCTTAAAATCTTATCTAAAACAAGGAAGATACTAACCGCTTGCAATAACCTATGACTTCTACCTGCACAGTACTGTAGAGGTATGACAGTATTCTCCAGTGTTATAAGTTCCTTTGTAAAATTACTTCCTAATGTCTTTGGAGTCTGATTAGCTCTGAACAAAATCACATTTAATAAGAATTGGCAAATTTTTAAAAATTACATTAAATTAGATAAGCAATATCATTGGACACTTATTAGCTTTCAACATGTTACTGTGTTTTGTGGACTAGCGTAAATATTATTTGATACTACTTACGAGTTCAGCCTTTCTAAAAATTTCTGATAGATATGTTCAGGTTGATAAGAAAGACAAACTGCTATATCTTGTTTAGGATAATAATACAAATAAGCTAGGCACATTTCATCATTAGCTGCTAAACCACCCTAGAAACAGTTATTGTAATTCTTCAGTCTTAACAGAATTATTTTTTGATTAAATAAGTACCGGTATAATCTACCGGTATTTATTTAAATACCGTACAGGTAATCCGCGGCATAATATCGTATTATATAAAATACAGAATATTTAGGATTATAACTTTCTTTAAAGTTACTGATTATAATTACCACAGTATAATTTGCTCTATTTTCTGTGTTATAAGTGCAAACAACAGTTAATTGATCACCCTAAAGGAAATAGAGCACAAATATAATTACAGTAACTTAGATAAAATTGACATTAAAATTGATATCACGGCAATATTGGCTCAAAAATCAATTAATAACAATCCTTAAGAAATATTGATTAGTTAATGAAGCTTATTGCTTCTACTTTATGCAATTTAGCTACATTCAGGGAATAGCTATTTACTATATTGGTAATATCACCTTTTCCATTTATAAAGGTACCGTAAAGTGCTGAATCCTATATTTTTATCTATAAAATTTCATGCTAGCCATTCTATATTAGTAAATGAATCGTAAACTACCGATGCATATGATAATATCGTGCGATTACCTTACTGCTAGAAATCAAAGTGGCTTCGATAAAGCATTAGCTTAGCCGATTAGTAGATAAGTAACTGCACTAGCATAGAGGAATCCGTTTTACGGGAATAATTAGTTTTGTTAAAACCGTACGATATATTGTTGTAACGAAGTGACTTTTCCTACAAAATACCTATCTTATTTTCGTCAGATAACATACCGTTGCCTATGAAGATATACATACTTTTAATAGATAACTGCATAGTTTTATAATATTATCTATAAATTGATAATTAATGCTTATGTTGATTTACTATAAATTGAATGATTTTTCAATAAAATTTGGGTTCACTTAAGTCTGAGAGGACTAGCGTTATGTTCCTGTTCCTCCTTACGATAGGAGATCGTCCGTATCTTGGGTCGTACTGTAGGGTAGATGTCAGGAAAGAAAAACCTGACAGTAGACTCATAGTGTAATTTTTGTAATAGTTTTAACTTTTACTAGTATAGTAGTTTTAGCTAATTACAGTAGTAATTGAAGTACGCAAGCATTCAGGAAAATAATAATCTACTATGCTTATAATCTTTTGAGTCACGTTAGAGATTTGCTCAATTTTAATAACTCAGATTTTGAGTTAGACGATTGCGAAGCTAAGGGGTTGTAAATCCCAAGCACTACAATTAATTACAAATTTCGATTTGTAAGAATTGTATAGATAGTAGACGTATAGCGAACTAAATTAGATTTACTTACTGGTAGGATTTTCTTTGCTTTCTTCAGATATACAAATTCTTGAAAATTGAAATCATAATGTGGATTTGATATTAAGGGGGCCAGTTCACTGCCATTACGAAATTGTTTCACTATAATCGATCTACCTATAGTACTTATAATAATCAGGTTTGTTTCGCAAATTGATCGAATAGGTTGCTGCCGATAGTATTTTAGAGTATTATAAGTTAAATAGTTAAAAGAAAAATTTAAATTAAATACTATTTAATAAGCTTGTTCTTATTAAAATATTAGAGGATTACAAGGTGTATGTCACAGTAATGAAACTCGATGATTAAATATTCTTAGTCAATGGCACTTACAACTAAATTTGCAAAATAATTAGTATGATGCAATTCTTATACGTGATAAGTATCTGGTGCGACATTTTGTTAAAAGATTTATATCTTCTCATCAAAGATAATTTGATGAAGCTTAATGAAGTAATTTAAGTAGACCTACCAGCTAGATGAGTATGCATCATTCCAGAGAACACATTAATTCCACCAGCTGGTAAATTCTAGAAATAATAACTTCATTATAATGCAATGCAATTACAGTATCTACCCTATAATTAATCATTAATAAAATCTAGGTGATTAAAAGAAATATCTGACTATTTCAGGATTTATAATAGTAACAATGCTATAATATGATAATTACGGCAATTTTAGTCCGGGTATTCATCACTTGACCGAAAAGTATGATCAAACTTGAGCACTTACTAAATTTGTGCAGTTTTGGGAACAATAGCCAGCCACTTCCCACTTTGTTTGTCGTTCAGGTATAATACTCGTGGTCTGGCTTGAAACAAGTCTTCCTATTTCAAGAACAGCAGCATCGTAAGGGCGTTTCTGTAATGTATAGTAGAATTTCAAACCGGAGGAATCTTGGAGTCCTAAGTACCAAAAATATGGATTATTAATCAGTGAATAAATGTTTGTTTCCTGGCTATACTAGTAGATATTGCAAATATCGATAACCTGGCGTCTTATTAGGATTATCATAATGTATTTCCATCAGTACATATCTTACTCCGGAAGAACCACCGATTGGCACCCCGACATGAGCTGGAAGAGTAATGTCCTATAAATAATTTTGATAAAATTTCACTATAATAACATTGAATAGTCGTTATTTACTTGGATAAGATTTCCTTTACTTGTTCTGTTAGAAGTATATAAGAATTTTAAGCTTAAAGGACATAAATTATCAATCTAATTAGTATCGATTAATGATAAACCTTGCCACCAACAGCCCATGCAGCCAATGCCGTTGCTCCTCGACATCCGCGTAAGGCTAACGGCACATTTTGAGAATCACAGTCTTGACTTTTATCTTTAAGGCTATCATGAATGACACAATCATAAATTAATATGTGACGTACCAAACCCTCATTTCTTTTCTGAATATATGGAGATATCTGCAAATTAATAAATGGATAAAATAATTAAAAGAAATGAAAAAAAATGCACGTATAGTAATTTCTTGGTTCATACACATCGAACCAGTGCAACAAAGTTCAATTACATTAATTAGGACATTATATTGCAGACTACTATACTTGTGATACCGTTATAAAATTATTGATTAATCTACTTAAGCCATACTTCTTATCATTCACTGTATATTTATAACAAATAGATTTAAATTTGAAAGCTAGCATCACAGCACACAACCTTAATGATATGGGCACTTCCCGTAATTTCTGGTAACTTGAAAGAGCTGCACCAGTAAGTTGTATCTTTTGCTGGCACACGTATCTGTAAAAAGAAAGCAAGATGTATAAATGTACTTGAAATCAATATAATAATAATGAATTCTCATGGATTTATATTGAGTTCCTGTTAAAAGTGAAATAGAATGGTGAAATACTTTATGCAAAGAACCAATACGGAGATAAAAGATATTCGATGGTCATACTACTAACAGTAATATTGTTGACAGTAGTAATTAAATTAACAAATTCAAAATAATGCTAATAACCTACATTCTTATTGGCAATAACGAATGATTTAGTGTCATTTGGCAAGGGTGGTTTATCTACTTCTGGAATGGTATCGAATAGATTAACACTTCGTGATCCTTGCTTTACGTGTTTTGTAAACTTATTTCCAGATTCAGGATCTGAACTATGATAAGACCAAATTAAACGTGAAGTTCCGGACTATATTAGGATTTGAGTAGTAGAAAAGAAAAGAAAAATTTAGTATTTAAAACCTATAATACTGTATCCTCGAATATGCTAAAAGTTATTGTGGTATATTGTCTAATCTAGATATACATCTCTATATTAACTACAATTATAGTTTAAAAATAAATATACATATTGATTACAGTAAGACATTCTAACCTCAAGAGGAAGATCCTTGTTATCAGCAGTATTGTATTTTCTCTTAAATTTTAAAGTTGTTATTCCGTTTGATTCTTCTCCACTGATTAATGTGTAATCTTGGCTTGCATCTAAGGTCGGTGTAGAATGTGATTCCGCAAATCTATCCTAAGATGAATAAAATTTTATACATCAATTAACAAAGCGGAGAAAGTGATTCATTGAAAAATTATGTGATAAAGTTTGTTTTCCATTAGATCAAACAGCTTTATTATTATCAGAGTAATAATTTGATATGTAAAATACTGTTATTTATTGATGAGTCAATAAATAATTGTAAAGTTTAAAAAGTGTAAAAAATTTAAGTTTTACTGCAAAAATGTTCAGATTTGTACTTGATTATATTCATGTTGTGAACTTTACACCTATACTAGTGATTTAATTTACCTGTAGATAAGCTTTTCCATTAGCAACCCAACCGATGATTGTATCCGATCCAGGCATTCTACCTGTATACGGTGAAAATCCAAAGCCAACCCATCCACTAGTCTTGACTGATATAGCAAAGTCCATCGTTTGTTCAATATCATTGGTTGTCCAGTACATTAAATAATTCTCTTCTTCATCCATGGACAAAAAATGAGCGTAATTATTTTTAAGACTAGCAGCATTAACGATGGTACAAGCGAAAAATAATAGGAATATTGTTGAGCGGTCCATCTTTTGTCTACAGGCATAAAAGAAGACGGTTAAGCACTTTCTTGATTAAAATACATAACAGAAACATCTTATTATTATAAAAGGATGTTATCTTAGTAAAGTGTTTCATCGTTAAAGCTAGCAATATCAACTATTAAGTCAATGTTCGACTGTAAAAATGAAAAATGATATTCAATTAAAACTTTCATTGATATTCCTTATAATTTATAGTGATAAGGCAAAATCTCAACTATCAGGAGCAATAGAAAATTGACAACTAAGTCACTAGCAGAAAGAAGTGTATGATCACTACTGTATATAATCCTAGCTCTTTTCCTTTCTAATATGTATACTTTTCATCGTGCTGCTACGTTGTAAATCTATGATAAAAACAATTTTTAGTTAAAAGATCCTAGAATCTTTATCATGTATAAACAGAAATGCTATAAAATCTTAACCTCAAGATTAACAACCTTATTTTGCTTTATGCTAATATTCATGCTTATTTTTCTTTATTTGCTATTTTGAGTAACATTCGAATGGCTATTCAGACCATGTAAATATGTAATTGCGTCATTTAGATTATATCGTTTTGAAGTAAAATCATTTATGAGTTAGAATACATATTACCTATCATTCAGTTAACTTTTCGTTGTAATGTAGATTTTATATTAAAGCAGGAAAAAAAAATAAAAACAATCAAAGCTAATTGAAAGCCAAAACATAAGTCTGATAAAAATGGCGCAATTCAAATTTAATTGGCTTATTTTATTTCCTAATTATGATGCCTCTTCCATACCTGCCCAAACTCTAATCGTTTGCAAATTAACTTACAGTGGGAAGAACAATTTTATCGTTGAGTCGTTAAGTTTTTTTCGCAAGTAATTACAATTGTTGAAACGCTTTATAACACAGTAAATTTTAATGGTATCCAGTTTCCTTTGTTTTCTTATTTCTCGTATGCTGTCTTTCGCTGGAATTGAAAATGCCCTGTTTACTAACAAGTATCCAAAGCATTCTATTATCTATTCATTCTTCCTAATGATATCTAATAGATGTCATTGTTATTTTTATTGCTACTATTCTATTGAAGATAATACAATCTAGCGATTATTACAATAGTTGACGGTATATATTGCTAGGTAATTCCATAGTGCATTTTTTCTTTTATCGTGAAACTCAGTTTTAGTATGAGTAAGCCAGTATGGCTTGGTAGCTTGATAAAGAGCAAAGACAGTATTCATAACAGTTGTACTACTTTATTAATGCATTTGAATAAATTCCAGCTATATGACAGATAAAGTTTCAAAGGATATCCTATCAGTTATTAATTATATATAATTGATAAAAAATGATATAGCTAAAAGTAGATCTTATTGGATAACACTATCAAATCTTACCTTTTAATAAGATGGTGCTCAATATTCAACATTCACAACCAGATGATTATGAGATTGATATCACTTCTCTTATTATTTTATTATCGAGACGTCCATGTTGACATCAAGCGAAATAATATTCAGGTTAACCAACATTGTTGCTTTAAAGGAAGTAAATAAGGAACTTGATCCATTTATCTTAAAACATCATGGTAGTGGTTATTAATTACCGGTAGTAAAGAACTTTATGCTTGAAGTCATGCAGAAATACTTGTGTTACATTTTCTTTCCTAATACCATGAAATTTTCCAGCATTCATTAAGAATATTCGTAGATCAGAAAATCAAAAATTAGATATTGAGTAGAGCATTATTTATAACAATTTTGAACAAATGTGAATAAAATCATGTCGACTTGAAACCGCTGTTCAGGTATTTGTCTGTTATAAAGGTAGCTATATCATCAAGGCTTGTTATTATTGCTATTTTCATGATTGGCTATCTATAATTGAAAGAATTACCAGGTGTACATAAAATATCTGTATAATATCTATGTAAAGGACGAGCAGATTATCAACTCTTGGTAATATTAGCAGGATTTCTATAATTGGCTATTAATTATAATTACCAGCTATATGGTCAAAATTAATATGTACCAGTTGGTCATTGAGTAAAATGTCTACATGTCTGCACACAAAGATTTCACAGATTGAATACTCGCTAGATAGAATTAAGTAACTTGAGCTACAAACCTTATCAACAGCTAAATTAATTAACTCTTAATGAACTACGATTACATAACATACGAAATGTGAATATGTATCAATATGTCATTAAACTATTTAACTTGCGATCTGTCACTGTAGACTCTATCTACTCATTCCAAATCGTTACAGATGGAGGAGACTTTGACCCACATGAACAAATTTATGTCTCGTTTCATTGTACGAAAGTAAGCAGAAAATAATTTTTTAAGTTAATTACTTATGATTTAGTTATAAAGTATAACTCTAACATTTTATAAATAATTCTATCACCATAAATTATAAAATAGTTATTGCAATCTTACAATATTAATCAGGTGGAATTAATGGAACTATTGGGATTTTTAATTTCTATTTACGATAACTTTAATATCGCAAGATATATTTTTAAGGTAATTGTAAAATAAACTTTCTATAATTTTTCCAATACGTGTTATATCAATCATATCTAACCCATTAAATTTCTTGTTCATGAGTTCCGATTGTCACTGTAGATCACTTCAAACTATCAGCTATGACTAATCAGAATAATTTCAGTAATATTAATAATAATTTGTGTGTGTACTAATCAACAGATTTTAATAAACTATATTTTTAAAATTAAAGAATTTCGATTGTGGTAAATGACACGTTTGAAGCGATAAGCAGAGACCGACCAGACTAACTGTCTAGACTAAAAATAATCATCCTGAATTTGCAGCATGCGCATTCATCAACTACATTATCAGCTCCTACATGTGCTAAAGCTTGCCATCGATACCGGTAAGCTTTCGCGGCGATTATTTATGGTAATGTAACATCGATAAGGATAAATTTAAGAAGATACCAAAAGTAATAAACAATTAAAGTTGTAGGGCAAATTGAATGTTTTATCTCATAGCTCAATTTATAATAGTCGAATATATTAACTATACTTTTAAGTATAATAAACTAACTTATCGATCAATTAATTTGATTGTCCTTGATAAGTTCATTTTAGTGACCTAAACCATTGCAATTATGTAAAGCTTGAATTAGCAATCGGCATTGCCGGCTACCTTAAATAAATTAATTTTAGGATCAATACGATCGCTTGTCATTTACTGTAATTTTGTCCTGAGGAATAAATTTCATCTACCTGATGAATGATTGAAACTGGATAGCTTATGGTAAGTTTCTATACAGATAACATCTCTAAATTAATACTCCATGTAATAATTCAGTTTACTCCACTTCAAATAAAAGGTCAATGAGTTTAATTATAATTGATGATAGTTTAGTCCTTTCTACTTTCTTTTAAGAAGCTTTTGACTATTAATAGGAAGCTTAAAATTATCAAAAATTTAATTTTAATCACCAAATATAATGATAAAATCATGAAAATTAGATTCACAAATGGCAATAAATAGATATCATTAAAGTTTCGTGACCACTATAATCATGGAATGATAATATTGCATTTCTAGATTTCAGATTGAATTTGATGGCTTCCAATATTCGTCGTTAGAGCTTGTACAAGAGATGCTATTAACAAGTTGTTCTATTTGCAGTTGAACCCTGACTCTTTAGGGTACTGTGGCAGGAAGAATTTAGCAAAACACAGTTCGTAATTGCAGAAATGTTGATGGTGTGATTTTAGAATGTTTCATAGTTGATATTAAGGCTTGGATTAAATAAAACAATTGAAGTTTATTAACTTAAAGTTTATAATTTAAATTGAAGATAAAAAGTTGTCGTGCTCATACGTGATTTAGGCGTATATAGCCAGTTTACAATTTAGCTTAGTGGAGGGTAGCTTTGCATTGAGAAATCTGATATCATGTTTGATTCAAGTCAGTGTATTCCATATCAAAATGATATACTAATTGCCGATAAAGCTCCTTTCAAGCGATTAGAAAAATATGCTATTTCATTGTAATTTTATCTACTTGTGAGTAATAACGAAAGTTAAAAATTTGGGGAAACAATTTGACAAATATTGCTTTGAAAAAGTTTTCTCCGAAGCAAAATATCTATCTTTATTTACGTCAGAAACAGCTTCCTTCTGTAATCTGATTGACAGGTCAAAATCTAATGATTTCGAGGTTAATTAGTATGAAAGTATTAAAGGTAAAACAGTTGTCAGAATTTTCGGCTGCAGTTAAATTGACCAAGAAATCTTGCCTACTATCCGCATGGTTACCTTTAATATATTAGTATACCAGCCCATCTTCCTTATTTATCTCTAATTGTTTACTAAACTACTGAAATACACCGCCCTTTTTATTATACGGGGCAATTGGCCCCTAGAACCCTTTTTATTCTGCCATTATGCAATTATGGGATGCAGAACGGCGGAGATACGAACGGATGATTTTTCAACCTGTATATTGCTCAATGATATATACCATTGCAAGGCGATTACTGCAGCATTATCTTTCAATCGATATAATTTATTATCCGACATAGTTGTATTAAGTTAAAATTTGAAAATCATTTCTAAAATAAAGGAATTAGAGGTCAATTATGCAATCTACTTTAATGAATTTTATATGAAATCATGGATAAAAAAAATGGCATTTCTTACAAGTAACATAAAGCAATGTAATAACTTAATTTCGGTAGTTGTCGTAGAATCCCTTTTATATGCTTTACAGACTTACTGGCTAGTACTATAATTAGTCACACAAGCTCAGAAATATTGCACCTTAGATCCCTCCAATAGATAAAATTAATGGTCTACTGTCACGGACTACTTCTTGACAAGTTTACTAGTCTAATGTAAAGCACTTACTTTAAGTTGCTTCTACAGATTACTACCTTAATCTGTCGAAAGATCTAGTAAGAATATAGCACTGCTACTATAACGCCTACGAACTACCCTTCTAAAAGGTTTACAACTATACTATAACACTGAAATAATGTGAGCAACAATACTTTCTTAAATCTATAATTTAGGCAAGGTAGTGCGGTAACATCTAGCCACTAGTAATTCTATCTACAATCAGCAATTATAGCTTAGATCAGGCCTTTAGGTTTATTTGACATTCTATAACGACAGCATTACTACTATTGATTCATAAACAAAATTAGTTGTCGCTAAAACGCCTACAACAAAGAGTCCATATATCCTGCCACTACTTCAATTGCTTCATGTAGATAATTATTTTTTACCGTAAGTTACTATAAGAGATAATTCTGCAATTAATCTTCAATACTTATGCTTTTATTATAACACTACAAACATCGTAGACGCATAGTTATACTAGTAGAAATTCTATTTGAGAGCCGTTCTCTTAACAATTTACTGATATAACAAAAGCAATATCGTATAGTTGCAGTACAGATAGTATATCGCAGCTGTTGACTGTCAATTTTATATAAAACCTTTAATAGCGCGTTCATGCAGATATCACACTACTTATGTGAAAGAATGTTAATTAACTTTGATATATCGTATGACTTATCTACATCAAGCAATATGAAAACAGATACTTATAACTGTGAATTGATTACTATAGCATTTTAGCTTGGGAATATAAGTTGCTTTAGTGAACATGTATGTTATTTCTCATGGTATGGAATGATTGCAAATTAATAATGGCCCTGACAATTTTGACAGAGACCAAGTTATACGAAAATTATCACGAGAGATGGCATAGAGTGGTACTAAATTATTGATTTTGATGGCTTCGCGTAAATTTTCTTGAACACCCTAAATATTTCATAGCCAATAGACGGTTATGTTCTGCCTTCTAGAATGACAGTAATTTGAAAAAAATATAAACACGATAGTCATCGTCGATTGGTAAAAATGGTGGTGCATACGGAGAATATTTATTTACTTTTTAGTTAATCTGAGTAAAGGCAAACCTATAAATCAAACTAATAAACACTTTCCGTTGCTCATAATATTCTTGAAGCCTAGTTGTAGTTAAAACAACTAGATTGAAGAATAGAGGCAGCTATTTAGCTTCAATTAAGTGTGATCAATCCATTTCAGTCCAATCAGTTTACAAAAATGGGCTCGGAGAAGGGAAAAGATGAGAAGCCCGGTGGGTATTTTGTGACAAAGACTCAGGTAATTATCACCGCTATCGTCGTCATCGTTCTCGTCATTGCCGTTGGTCTTATTGCGGGATTAACCGGAAAATCATGCGGAAGTCATGAACAACAAGGTGGTACCGATCATACAACGACCAAACCAACGAATCCCACGTTAACACATGCTACAACTCATAAAATGCAGCCTACAACTAAGAAACAGCTTGTAGTTACTACACAAAAAGCAACCATGAAGCCGAAACCAACACCGTTTACAGGAAGTAAAGCGGTGTTAAATAGTTTGCGACTTCCAACAAACGTTCGACCGATCCAATATCGATTTGCTTTAGACATTGATGTTTCAGGAAGGAATTATTCGGGATCCAATATTGCAGAAGTGCAAGTTTTATCAGCTACTGACATTCTTGTCATACACATGAAAGGCATGAAATTAACAGCCAATCCTTTGCTGGCTAGCGATTTGCAATTTTCAAGCGATAAACTTATTCCACTCACAGATTTTGGTGAATACACTAAGAATGAATTCTTCTACATGATGGTTGCTACTCCACTTCAACCAGGGACTTATTTTATGAAATTTGAATATAAAGCTAACTTAAGCACGGATTATTTTGGTCTTTTTGCAAATCAATATAGACATCTCAATGGAGATATTACGTGAGTATTGCGAGTTCCGGGATGGAAATATGCGATTTTTATTCGAAAGAATAGGATAAACATTATGTTACTAAACCACTGGAATACTATATCTTGGTTCAATTTATAAAACCAAAGGTGGTCAACGTTGTTGTATTCTATCCGTGTTATATGACATAATTAATATATAGAGTAATGGATTATAGATATGTAAAAATTTTGTTACCAATTTGAGCTTTAAGAGAAAACGAAGGATGATGAATGTGATGTTTCGGAAGGTTGAGAGTTCGGCATTAGTCGCAATAAAGTTCAATGGAAAGTTGATTATATTGATTAACCTTGTAGTTGATGTTATAATTAGGTTACTTGTACGGTAGAAGCAAATTTAGTATTCAGTCTGAATCCTACCTTATAAGAGTTGTCTGTACGTGAAATACACAAATATGCTCATACGCTAACGATACTTATGTATATGGCTTCCCACCACAGTAGTAAGGCTAAGCCAATTTTTATTATTCGCAGCAAGAACTTGATTTATCTGAATAAACTTCCCTATCTAAAATAATGAAATGTGCGCGTTATAATAATTTACAAATAATTTTTTCCTTTCTTTAATTTGCATTCTTCGATTAGTTGGATGATTGTTAGCCAAAGTGCAGCAACGGATGCTCGCCGAATAATGCCATTACACGATGAGCCAGCTATCAAAGCAAATTATAGCGGTAGTATAACTGTTCCAAGTGATTATTTCCCGTTATTCAATACGCCAAACATAAGTCATAGCGTCCTAGGAAATGGCAAAACTATCCATCAATTCCAAAGTAAGTTTTTCTAGAAAAAGCAACGAGGACAAGACGATATTTTTTTGTATTGGGATTCATTTATTCACTAAACCTATGGAATGAGTTGTTAATTTTGATTGCTTTATAGATACTGTGAAAATGAGCGCCTACTTATTGGCCATGGTTGTCAGTAAATATGGTTATATTGAAGGGAAAACTAATAGGGGAACACCGGTAAGGCCAGTAATATTTAAGTATTGCGTAAGGTATTTATAGCCAATTTATGCTACTCCATATCATGATCGTTGATTTTTGCTTGGTTAGTTTGTAATTAGAGCTAAGTTATGATGGTACTTATTTTTAATGCATACGATACTTAACTAATTAGAAGAGAATATTATTGAAATCAAGTGATAAATTTACAGCCAATGAAACGCTCTTATGGTTTAAGAAGCGAAATAATTTTTGCTTTAAAAGCAGGATTGTAAAACATTATCAATTAATTTGCAAGTTTCTATTCCCGTTTAAAATTTAGGTGAGAATTTATGCTGATAAAGAAGTCGTTCAATACGGTCATTATGCGTTGCAGGCTGGTATTAATATAACCAATTATTTCGAACAATTAATCGGTCAACCATACTCTCTGCCGAAATTAGGTATAAATTCAATTTACTTTAGTCTTCAATTAGCCATAAATTATTTCAGAATACTTTGACAAGAATTATAGCTGACTTTACGAATTGTATAATAAAGTCTATCTTCGATTAATACGAGTACTCGTATCTACATGTAATTCAAGGACTTTAACAAGATGAATGTTAAACAGGTTCATTAAACTTATGCTGTAATTTATATATCTATTGTAGACATGATTGCTATCGATAACTTTCCTTTTAGCGCTATGGAAAATTGGGGATTAATTGTCTATCTGCAACGTGTACTGCTATTTAATCCTGCTGAAGATACTGTTTACTATCGAGAGCGAATCGCACGAATTATAAGTCATGAATTAGCTCATATGGTATGTTATTCGGCTTGGTCGACTTTGAATCTATGCTTCTATAGCTCTAGAACTTCTTGCAAGATGGTTTAGATAACATCTAGAGGAGTTTTTACTCTCCTGACGTTGGTAGGATTTGGTTTAGAAAAATTTGTAGATAGTCTTCAACGTAACCTGATTTCTACTTTAATAGCTCAACTTAATCTATCCTACAAGATTTAGTGCTTAATTGATCGATATCTTATCCATTAAATTGCTATTAATTGTTTAAATACTTAATATTGTTTTAATTGATCAAGTTCGGTAGCTTATTGTAGTTTTATTATGTACTGTACCCTACACCAAATATTAGCACCATACGAGCTCATTTCAATCTACTAAATACTCTTGTGCGTCTTAAATTACAATGTTCTATGGTGTTAAAATTTAGATAGTGTGAAGCAGAATTGTAACAATTTTACATCAAATTATAGTATTCGCTTAAAGGATGCCGCAGTCTAACTAAAAGATGTAATAAATAATACAGTAGTAGTTACTTTTATTTACTTAAAGAGTGCCGCAGTCTAGCTGAAAGATGTAATAAATAATACAGTAGTAGGTACTTTTATTTTTTTGCTAGGCAGCATTAGCTTTTTAATCATGTAGTAATTAGCAATCTAGCTAAAAATTTATGAACTAGAAATGATTATTGTTTTTAAAATGTTGGATTTATAATAAAAGTATTATGTTGCTTAGTGTAATACCTAACAAAAGATTTGCTCGTAACTGTAGTAAAACAATTTAATTCAGTGCTTATTATCCATTTCAGAGAGTTATTATGAATATACTTATTTCTATCTACAGAATGGACGTATATCATTATATTTATCACTAAACAACTCTTTAATTTTAATTTATGTTACTGATACATCTGCAATAAAACTAGTGGTTTGGTAACTTAGTTACCTTTCATTGGTGGAGTAATGTCTGGCTTAATGAGGGATTTGCATCATTTTACGAATACATTGGATCAAGTCAATTTGAACCATCATGGGAATTGGTATAGCTAATATTAATAGAATAAATTTTATAGCCCTTCTTAAGCAGATAGAAATATTTATGTGCTCTAATTGCTTTGTATTCGTATTTCTTTATTTTCAGATGGATTTATTTGTAGTTCGTGAACTTCAAACTGGATTAGCTATCGACGCATCCAAGTCATCTCATCCAATGGAAGTAAACTTTTTCCCAAATAATGCTTACTTGCTTAGTTACTACAGCCCGGTTGCGTACAATAAGGTAAATATTAAAAATCAATGACAGCGTTTACATTAATACTAATCATGTCGTTTAGATAGTAGTGATATATATATACATATAAGTAGAAAAACTATATTTATCTAAAACATCAAATAAGTGATTTTTGCCCCTGTCACGAACTACTTCCTGACAAGTTTACCAGTCTAACGTAAAGCACTTACTTTGAGTTGCTTTTACAGATTACTACCCTAATCTGTTGAAAGATCTAGTAAGAATATGGTACTGCTACTATAACGCCTAAGAACTACCCTTCTAAAAGGCTCACATCCAGTAGACACACTGTACTATAAACTACAAAACAGCTTTATTCAGTTAACTCACTACTCACTGTTCTCGCTCTAAATCAACTGATTTAAACCAATAAATACACTCATAAAGAACCGTTTATCTTTACAAAGAAATACCAGACACACTTAATGATGAAATTAGATAAAAAGATAAACTTATTTATAAAGAATAATCTTATCTAAATTAGGTACGTAATCACAAAGCCTTATTAGCTTATAGCTGTATCACATTACAAATAACGTTCTTAGCTTTCATTTTTCGAATAAAGCAAGAGTAATATTGATTTACTGTAGGATATTAATTCTTACAGCCATAAGTACAACAAATCCTGTATTTCCTATACTATAATACTAAAATACTGTCAGCAACAATACTTTCTTAAACTCTATAATTTAGGCAACGTAGTACCATAACAGCCCCTTACGGCTTTTATAAAAAATGAGTGCATAAAAATCTGATGGTGCTTTTCATGCATCTGAACAATTTCTATTTTCCTGCTTCTCATTTCTATTCTGTTAGCGAATAATATAGCTAAATTTACGCTGGTTTATTTACTTATACAGCTGGAGTATGCAACTTTAATCGACTTGTAAGTATATCTGTTATACGATCGGATAGTATACGATTTTGCAAAGTGATATCCTGCAAACTTTTCAGAGCTGTTTGAAAAAGCACTGGGTTATCTTTTAAGGCTGTGAAAATCTTTAAATTTATGCAATTAGTCGTGATGCCTTTAAATTATACGATAATCAGTTCTATTACTGGTCATTTTAGCTTGCTAGAATTTAGTGTTCACTGTATGAGACTAGAGAATATATCTGCCGCTAAGTTATAAAATGAATTTCGAATAAAACAATCTGCAATTGCAGTTAGCCTGATATCAGGATATACATGACCTATTAATTCATTTATATTATTTTCTTTGATCCATCTAGCTGTTATCAGTTTTAATGTGTTCGATATTTATTTAAATAAACTCTCTTACAAATTTGTTTATGCAATTAAATAGGGAGGCAGTGTATTACGCATGTTCAGAAATATGATTGGAGATAAAAATTATGAAAACAGTATTAAAGTAAGGATAAGATGTTAATATGGGAAATTGTTCTAACTTACCACTAAAGAGAACTGAAGTTTAAAATCCCTTGTGAAATTGACATATTTTATTTCAGTTATATGTCAGCCGAAGACAGTGGAAAGAATCAAGTCCAAGTGACCTATGGAAAGCCATGGAAGAAGTAAGCCAATAGCTATTAAGCTCGTCTATTTTATTGTGCTTCTTAGTTCCGTTTGAAATTCATTTTTAGTCCCATACACTGCCTATCTTAATATTATCGTTATTATGCGATATTATAACGGAAGCAAGTATAATTTTTTAAAATATTAGACAGTCGGCGATGGCACTACAATTACAGATATTGCCAATACCTGGATTAAGCAAATGGGTCATCCTATTGTTACCATTAAACGCCATCCAACGGATGCTAGTAAAGGGATATTTACTCAACAACGTTATTTAACAAATGGCACCTTAGATCCTAATAGTGAAAATCCGGTTTCGCCACATACTTCGCCATATGGGTAAGAACTTTGATCAGTTTACTACTTATATTTACTTGCTAAATGAATACAGAAATACAAATTACAATCCTAACATTTACTCTGGCACAATTCTGATAAGCTGCTAAATGCGTATTCATCATGATTTAGCAAAAGGCAGTGTGTAAATGTGTGGCATGATGAAGTTGGTTCTAAATATAGAATTTATATTCAGCGATCAACAGAATCAAATACAACAGTAGTAGTTTTGTCTTATTATAATGGTTTCGATATTAATAAGCGTAAAATTTTAGCACTAGTGATTAATAGCAAGGCATAAAAAGTTTAAGGGTATTTTAAATAGCGAACGCATCGTCAAAACAATAACGCCCGAAATGAGCAGGCAAGGAGTTTTAACAGTCTCGGTTTAAATATACGTTAATAGTATTTTAATCATTAGCTTCGTTAAAGCATAGAAAAAGCAACAAATATGACATTGAGAAAGTCATACTAATACATTACTGTAGGGAACTAATAAAATTAATATTGTTAAGGTAAATTAAACACGTTTCCTGAACTTTATCGAGAGCTAAGAGCTCACCATTTTTACTTTAGCAGATCGTCAACGGTATTCGTTTCCTGTGGTTAATACGTCGCTATTTATTTTAAATGTCGTTATGATTAGATTAGTACTGCTAGATATTATGGTATAGGAATGATAAGATATTAATTTGCCTATTTAACTCTAACTGCAGATATAAATGGACAATCCCAATGAACTGGTTTTCGAGCAATAACGTATCTAAAAATCACTATAAGCTAATTCAAATGAATGATGGTAATTTTATTAGATTATTTTCTTAGCTTTCAGAAATTAAAATGAAAGAGTAAAGCGCATAGATTTCTATAGAGTATTCTATCATTTGAAAATATTACTGATGTGAATAATTAAACTCATTCTATGGCATATTTTTAGCCGAAACGACTTTTGACTGGCCCCAAGGAGCGTGGATTAAGGCTAACACGAAATCATATGGATTTTTCAGAGTAAACTATCCTGAAGAGAACTGGAAAAGCCTAGCTGAAGCCATGAAAAGAAATCCCGGTGTAAGTCCGAAACCGACGACTAAAAATTAGAATTTCCATATTATTTAAATATTTAAGCTACATACACTGATTGATTAGACATTTTATTGAGTGATTATGTTTCAAGATTATAACACATGTACGGTAGGGCAGTAGCTATTATGGAAAGCTGCACCTATATTAAGAAACTCATAACAAGGTAGTTGTCACAGCTTTCAATTAAAATGGATGGCAAAGCAATTTATCTATTGAATTTTTGCAGAAGTTTCGACAATTATAATCATTCATCCATCTTCGAAGTAAAATTTAGATTCTTAGATAAAAAATAATGTTCTAAGGAAATATTGAGCTCTGAAAGACTAAAACTGCTAATATAATCATGACCTTACTTACTGTGAGTAGTTCCTTGAGCTACGAATATTTATATTAATATTTTCGTAAGTACTGAAACATCATTTTACGATAAATGCAGCAGCCAAAATGTGAAGCAATCCAATATACCGCTATTACGGCGATATTAATCATACTAGATAATATTAAGTGAGGAGTAATTACTATACGATATAAAATTCTTAGATTGTACACTGATAATATCTGCAAGAAATAATTCAGTTGATAGCATGGCACCACTAAGGCAATCTGCATAACCATATATTTACTGATATTGAAGTCTTAAATAAGTATACTGTTCATTAATATGATAATTTATTATTCGTTTTATTTCATTAGAGTTTAACCAAGAGAGATAGATCTAATCTAATCAACGATGGAATGACATTTGCTGAGTAAGAAATTAAATGCTCATATTATGTACTTGTTTTTGCCATAATTATGAAAATGCTAGAGGATTATTGTACTTCATAGTAAATGGGTGACTTTTAAGCATAATTCTATCCATATCACTAATATCATTATTTTTCTCGATAAACTAGGTCAGAAAGAATTAAATTTGGCACCGGTCTTGCTTTGACAGAATATCTTGTCAACGAAACTCATTTCTTACCATGGTATACGGCAATAGAAAAATTACAGCCAATAGTTGATCGCCTTGAAAGTAGGATGAGTTTTGGTCATTTTTTGGTAAATATATACTTTTCCCTTTGGATCAAATTATGATGCTGTATGCACCATCTACACCTAACTTTTATGATTCTGATTATTAAGCATTACTACAAGCAATTATTACATCCTACAGTAAGAAGATTACGATTCCAAGATACTGGTAGTCATTTGGAAAGGTATGGTAGTAGAATACCATAAAATTGATGCTTCAGTTAATTGACTGGAATTAGTTTTTATAGAATATAGTTTTAGCCAATTCTTTACTGTGATGTTAGAATAAGACTGATAGGTTAAAATTTTAAGAAATATCTTGAAATGCGCTAATTGATAAATCATATTTATTTCTTTTAGGTTACTAAGAGTATCAGTAATGGAAATTGCTTGCCGTCTCGGCGATCACTGCTGCGAAATGAATGCAACAAAGCTGTTCATGGATTGGATGATGAACGAAACTGCTCATCCGTAATTCACGATTTTAGATAGAATTAAAGTTAGAACGGCTCCATCGTAACAGATTGATACTTTCTACTTAATACCAGAATTCCTCCTTCCCTTCGATATACTACTTACGCAGCAGGTGTGGCCACGATGGGACCTAAGGCTTTCAATCATTTATGGAATAAATTAAATGTTACCCACCGTGTTCTCATTCGTCGTGACATCATCAAAGCATTAGCTCAAGCTCAAAAACCATGGCTATTAAATACGTCAGTATCATAATGATTAATAGTATTAATAGACTTATATGATAGAGAAAGGACTGTAGCTTCCATCAAACTAGTAATAGAAACTATAGGGTAGCTTATATTCGGTGTGCTTTAATAGTAACACATGGAATACCTGTAATCTTAATATTCAAGTTCGTAAAAGTATCCATTGTCATTAGATTGATGAAATAAAGCTTTAAATTCTAGTTCGTAATCGCTAATGATACTTGACATTCCTATGATGGTATAACTATATTCCGTTTGCATTATTATTAATTTTAAATGAAATCTAGGTATCTTCATAAAGCATTGCACGATAAATTAATGTCTTCTTCCGAGAAAGAGATGGTATTTGATAATGTTGCTGCAACATCAGTTGGAAAGCTTCTTCCATGGGAATTCCTCAAGAGAGATTTCCAAACTTTCTATTCCATGTAAGTAAGGCCAAACTAATCCAGATTGCGGTTTAAATCTCCAGTTTCAGCTTATTATCTTTAATTATACATCGCATAATAAGGTCTGATAATAAAATTTTCTTAAATGGTTGTGAAGATTAGTAGTAAATCCTTGTCATAAATGGCTAGTACACCCAGATTTATCCGTTGAAAGCAGACTAGGCAAAAACAATTAAATTTTACTCACTCCATCTTTCCGATTTAGATATAAAAGTACCGGCTCCTTATCAACACTTGGACGACTAGTTCACAATTCCGTCAAGCGATTTGACAATAAAATGAAATATATGGAGGTGAGCCATAAAGATAAAATTACATCCAATTTTATTACGAGTATAGATTCTATTCTAAATACTCCTTGCGTAATTAATTTTGCTTATATACCACAGAAAACGCTCAATTATAATTATTGTAGTGTCGAATTACACATTCATATTGTAATGTCGTTTGCTTAGTGAAGATAGCTAACTATTAGTCCCCATATACTTCATGATTATTTAAGGGGAATTATTATGGCCACTTTTAACTACTTGATTATGATGTTATCAAATTAATTTACTATTTCTTCAGAAAATTAAGGTTGCTACTAAGATTTTGTTCTAAATATATTGCATGTAATTCGTAAAGTAAATCCATTTAAAATTATTAATTACAAATAGTACTGATGATGCAGTATGGTACATATAAGTTCTTCTCGAAAATAATCATTAAGAAAGTTACTAAAGGATATTTAGCGCATACTTGTTCTAGTTTTTTGACCTATTTTAGTATCATTTAAATTTATTTTAAGTATTAAATGAAGTATATATATACTGCCCTACTATCCGATTGAAACAGATCAACTAGATTAGATATGATGTAGCTGAATTAATGGTTTAGTTTTAATTTTTGGAATGCTACAAGTCCAGGTCCACTGTCACTTTTTCAGTGGTACTTATTAAAATCAAGAATCATTCGTTCGTTATGGTCAGTATAGATATTTCATAATTCTTCTTCATGATTTAGATGACAACGTTTTTCGATAAACACCCTGATTTAATCAGACATAAAAATGGTGTCCTGAATAGTATTCACAGAAATATACAATGGCTGCAAAAACACGAGGGTGCTATTGTAGATTGGTGTAAAGGTCACATGAAATCGATGAATTCCATGCAATCAATGCAATGCATATAATATAATTATAATTCGATTCGATAGAGTAATCTGGTTAAATCAATTTTTATTATTTAATCTGATGAATTATATTATTTACTGGTGCATCAGTGGAAAATTGAACTAGAATTAAAATAATTGCACGTAGATTGGTATGCTAAAATTTGAATAAAGTAGCTTGATTATTTTACTGGCAATATTCTCATTTGTACGCTTTGGTATAATGAGCTATATTATTTTACTACATTTTATGACTTGCATCCCTCTTGCTCTGCGATAGACGAACAATATGAAGTTGAATAACGTTTACTATCAGTATAGCATATATTGATCTATATATCTATTTTATCTGTACTAATCAACCACATACAATAAGTTTAATCTGTAACTAAAGAAGTTTTGATTATCGCTAAGAATAATTTAAAATAAAGATTTGCTGTTTACAGAAACTTAGCATCGCCACTTCTGATCGTCACTAACAATAACAAGTCGTTACCCACAAGATTAGTTCGTGATCGATGTAATAGTCGTGCTTTTAAGGTTTATAAACGTTGTTTAAATTTGATCTACGTATATTCTCTTAAATCTTAAAGATTCCATTATTACTTAATCACCTCAAATTCGCAACAAAAATTTGTTTATCAGCGTCTATACCATAACTATTCACTCAAAGTCTCTAGTACACATATTTTTTTATGGTAGTATAATAATTACGCTAAAAGCTTAAAAGAAAATTGCTCTCACTTACTTTAACTCATTAATATTGCTATTGTTGATACTTCCGAGGGATAACTAGTTCAATAGCCTAGAAATTGACTGTGTAGTTGTTAAACATCATGGTATACGATCCCTAGTAAAGTCATTGATAGCTCTCCTAGAAACGGCTCCGTTACCATTAGGGCGAGTATAATTTACAAGCGGAACATAATTTGAGACGGTCAGAGAAAATTTCTAGGTTATGAATGGTTATTAAATGTATTATGTATAAAAAGTATTAAACATTTTCTATGTTGTTACTCCTAGTAGAAGAATGGGTTTTATTTGGCCACTTTGCTTATAAGAGGTCAGTGATTATACTGAAACATTTTACTCAGTAAACAAGTATGCGAACTATCACGAACGGAGGGTCTTACTAGCTATTAGAACTATGTATATATGAAACACAGGCAAAAGTTCATCTTACTATTCTTTACATGCCGCGAAAGCTAGCAATGATATCAAACCAAAAATTAACTGCTAGTACCCTAGCAAAACTATCACCTCCGCCAGTTTTCTTAAGCACGGATAAAGCAGTTTTGAATAAATAGATTTCGACAATTACATATTAACGTTAAATATTTATGTTCATTTAAAGTGCAATACTCCGTCTTACATCTCGTAAAAAATATCCTAAGTAACAGAAGGCTAAATTTTAAATGATGTTGCGATCGAAAATTTCACTTCTATCATCGTAAAAATAATAAGCTTTTGTAAAGCATTTAAGGATGAACGAATTAATAAGTGTCGCAAGGATTGATAGTATGCGCAGGAAAACTGTGCCTAACTTTGGACTCTTGAAGTACTGTTTACCTTTGTCATTCCGCAATATCATTACATGATTACTATTACAAGAGCATGTGTAGTACTTTAATTTTATACTGCGATATAAATACTTAGAGAAATTTAATTAAATTGTGTTCATTAAAATATTTAGAAAAACGTTTGTCGCTTACATTATTCTATTACGCAAATGCGATTGCGATTATAATGATGCTTTTGATCAAATATAAAACTCAAAGTAGTTTTGAATATTTGCATAACAGAGCTATTATTACCATTCAATAATAGCAAAGATTATGACTTTATTCCATATTTACTTGTAACTTGCACTAACTAGTTCAACCAGCATTTTACTACATACCTAATTTAAAATTTTTATAAATACTCAAGTAAACATATCTAATTGTATCTACTCAGATGCCGATAACCTCAATATTAAAACCAATATATTAAATACCTAGGCACCCTATGAAATGAGGTAGAATATAATCCTAGTCGCTAATGCACATTAATGAATGATAAATGTATCCCAGATTTAGATGAAGAATAATCTATGACGATAGAATCTATCAGATCTACGCGTGTACTGTTTTGATATAAATAAAAGAACGATCATACATTGAATGTAAATAATAATTCCTTGTTAAAGGCTTGAGCCGATGCAGTAGAACATTTAAGAGATAAAGTAATCGTATGGTTGTGTTGTGATATAGGTACGCTGTTATTTAAGTTAGGAATTGTAGTAGTGCAAATACTAAGCCATGTAACAAGCCAAGACCATTGCGATCAAAGGGATTGCCTTAAGAAATGTAATTTGGCTCGCTCCACTAGTAGTCGGCATATTGATTTTAGTTTTAACAAAATCCTTTATTTCCATACGAGATTTCTGCGGATATTTAAGAAAGAAAACAAATAATGAGATGTAATCGATGCCGTAATTTAGGACAATTAACGGTGGTGATAATTGCAGAACTTGGTGAAATTGTTTTCATCTCCTTACCTCTTGCAACAGCCTTCGACCCCGAGCTGCACACCAATGGTTTATTGGAAGTTCATTTTCCAATTTGCGATACGTGGATAAGTATTTGCCTTGGCCAAACGTTGCATTTTCAAGAACATTCCATACATAAGGTGCCTTGCTGGGATAGTCATTATAAGGTGGTATTCGACCAGTTCTAGCAAAGATTGAAATATTTATAACTTTTTTATTCCAATCAATTGTACACATAATGACATTCTAGTTTTCACATACAGTTTAAAAGCGCAAAAGTCTATCTTCTAAAATTTAAACTTGTCAGCTTATGAAAAACATGCTTATTTTTAATTAATTAAAGTGTATTATCAGTTTTTGATGCTGTGTCGATATTTCTAAAAGTAAGGCAACGGCTTCTGGTAAGGGTCTGTAGATACAAGAATATCGCACAAGAAGTAGACGATAACTGCTAATATCACTTCTGATCTAACAATGACTATTACATGTGGATGAAATATACTACAAAGCGTAGCTGTAAAAGAATTATGAGCTGATTGACCTGTAATGTACTTTGCAATATCTTCATCTAAATCCCAATAATACGCATTTAAATCTCGTACTTACGCCCTTAATGAATTCAAAAACGGTAGAAATGATGCGTAGGGAATGTAGGACATACAAGCAGATAATTCTTGTATCGGATAGTACAAGAAATATGCCAAGCACATTTCGTTTCTGGTACTAATTCCACCCTAAATTCAATCAATAACATCATTGACAAGCACTATCAAGTTTATATAACGATACTAATCCTATTTTTAATAGATATTAGAAATTAAATTTCGTTCTGTGATCTAATACAGTTAAAATTAGACAATTGGTGTTGCTCTATTGTTGAAACTTTTACGTAAACAAATTGCTTCGCTATAGGTACAGCGTAAGCAGAGATGCAAGTATGACGCAAATTGATTTCTTAATAGCAAAAATCCTGCGCTATTAAAATGAAAAATTTGTGACTTACAACTGTGATTTTGGATCTATTAGAAGTGTCGTAGCCGCATATCAGAGTCATTTGATCTCCCTAATACGATTAATTGCCATTAAGATTTTAATACATAACCGTTAACCAGCCTTGTCAATTCATCAGTAACATAAGCTATCATTTATAAACAGAATAGCTACTGGTACGTCCGACAGACGTGCATTTACAGCCATTTCCTCACCGGTAATACTTTTCTTTCCTTCTTTAAGAACATGATGTCTTGATAATTGAAATCATAATGAGGATTATGAGCTAGGAAAGGTAGTTCCTTTTTTTGGCGATGATGTTTAACTTGTAGTGATCTACCTATAAAACATAGTGTTGGTTAATAGTTACATAAAGAACCTTAGTGTCCAAAATATCAGGTACGAATAGCTATCGTCTTACCAACTAGATGGGTATGCAATATTGATCCTATGATATTGATACCGGTTGCTGGGAGATTCTAATATTTGTAAACATAAAATTATTGATATCAGTACTAATGGTCATAAATCTACATAAAAGTTAATGGTAATTTGCTAAAAAAAAAGGTCTAATCAGAGAAATAAACTTTTTAAGCAAAAGATATGATGGTAAATTTGATTTTAAATCTTTTTTTCACAAATTAAAAAAAATTAAATTATTACTCTACCGCTAGAATTCAAGCTTGCTTAATTTCACTATTACTATAGTTTGTACAGTACCCTTTGAGTGCAATAGCTTGGACAGTATCCAGCTGATTGCCAAGTCTTTTGACCTTCAGGAATCATATGGAATGGATTAACCGATTGACCAATTTGCAGCATACCAGCATCATACTGACGCTTCTGAGAGGTATAATAAAATCTCATTCCGGACGAATCTTTAATTCCTGTCATCGCAAATCAAGATATAATAATAGCTTTAATTCTACTTCACGTCATAGGTTACATCTCAATCAAATTCAGACATGCTCGATGATTGAATAAAATCCTTCAAGAGCATATTATAATCCCTACAACCTGAGTACAAATTAGGATTGTCATAATGTGTTTCCATAACAACATATCTGCTACCATATGATCCTCCAATGGGTAAGCCAACATGAGCGGGAAGAGAAAATGGCTAAATGTAATTTTAATCGAAATTGATTACATGTGCTATAAGCTTCTAAGCATAAAGCATTCCTACTACGATTTTTGTTACATAGGAAATCAATAGTTCAGAAAAATAGGAATGAAACAAATGAAAGCACCCGTCTATCGCGTAGTGATTTGGAATTCCTAACCAATTTAACATAATCATGGGACTATTATATTTTAAACTGAAATATGAATAGAGCTATAGTAGCTTTGCTCCATCTAAAGTGTTGTAAAAATAGCTTACCTCACCACCAACAGCCCATGCTCCAATTACTGTTGCCCCTCGACATCGCCTTAAACCATATGGCATATTTCGTGAGTCACAATCATGACTAGCACCATGAAAATGATCTTCAAAGATGCAATCGTAGATCAAAATATGATGAACGAGAGCTTCATTTCCTTTTACCAATTTAGGTGCGATCTACGTTATAATGTAATAATATTGTATAGTTCAGACTATTTCAAATCCACAAAGGTAAAAGTAATTATTCACTCTAAAGATCTTTTTACTTGAATTAGAACTTACCTTAATGATATGACCAGTGTTATTAAGTTCTGGCAATTTGATAGCAGTACACCAGTAAACTGTATGCTGAGCTGGAATTGTTATCTAACGAAAAAAGACCATTATAATGAGCTCAGCGTGTCTATAGCTATCATTTACCAAATAATAAAATCGCGAACGATTATAAATTATCTATCAAGCTTATATTAAAATGTTAAAAATATAAATATACAATTTATTATCGAGAACCCGGCATACATTTTTTGCTAAGACATCAACGTATTGGACATCACTAGGCAAAGGTGGTTTATCGAATTCTGGAATTCTATTGAATAAATTAATGCTTCGTGTCCCTTGAAATTCATGCTTGGTAAAGACATTGGGTGCTGTTGGATCAGCAGTATGATAAGACCAGATTAGTTTAGTTGTACCATCCTAATTAATAATCATAAAATATGTAAATTAACTTTAAGTAGTCCATTTCATAACGCCTTCCAATTCGATAATCATATTAGACTTATTACTTCGCATCTCTAGCATGTGTTATAACTTAAAGCTTCATTTGGTAGAAAGTAACATACAGAATTTAGATACGTAGACTATCTAATTTAACTTAGTCTTAATAACAAAAAATTTGTATATTTTCACTATTCTTGTCTGCTTATTGAAAGATAAACAGTAAATTCTTTCTATATCAAGAACAAAAATTGTGATCGATATTAAATATTACTTTGTATACCTCGATCGCTAAATCTTTACTATCTCCAGTTACATATTTCCTTTTAAATTTTAGTATAGTCATGCCATTAGTCTCTTCACCGCCGAATAAAGTATAGTCTTGCTGTGTATCTAATTCCGGAACGGTATGACCAGTCGCAAATCTATCCTTTTACATGAGATCAATAATTTATTAAGCATATCCATTTAATTAATAAAATATTTTACTAAATTCTACGACGCAATTATGTATAGAATGAAAAGATTGACAGTTATACTAGTCATAACAGACTTTTATGAATTATGTACTTCATGTAGATAAGTACATAATAAAACACAATAGCAGTTCATTCTAGCTAACGCACTTGTAAATAGATTTTTCCTTGATTATCAACCCAACCAATGACTACATCTGAGCCTGGCATTCTACCGGTATAAGGAGAGAATCCAAAACCGACCCAGCCTGTAGTCTGAACTGCAATAGCGATATCAATCATTTGCAAAGTATCATTTGCAGTCCAATACATTTGAAACTTTTCATTTTCATCTAAGTAAGCAAAGTGTCGGTAACTTTCTTTTAAGCCAGCAGTAGAAGCTAGAGCGGCAGTAAAGGTCAAGTAAAGAATGACCACGATATAACGCATTTTTTTCGCTAGAAGTCAGCTTCAAGAAAGTAAATTAGAACAATTAATGTATTGAATTCAATACGTGCCTTAGACGCTAAATAAGATACTATAACAGCAATAATTATAATATTAGCTAGATATAATACTGATTCTAATGGTAGCATTTACTGGTAATAGGTTAAAAATTAAATTATTATCTTCAACGAGGTAGGCCTATCTGGAGATTTTTGTACTAATTATTTAGAGTATAGGGTGTGAAAATGACTATCGCAGCACCGTAATTCCTCATTTTTAAGGTTTACTATCGCACCTATCTTTTAACCTTTGTTGAAAATGAAGTCATATTTTCTTTAATTTTATTAGCAAACTACGAAAAACAGTAATAATTTGTAATGACTTATAACTTCATATTTTATGGAACAACCATTCTTCATTTTAATCACTATTGATACCATCTTTAGGCTGGAATGGATATCCAAAATGTAATCGAATTTTTAATAGAATTTTAATACTCCTTACCTTAACATTTTTTTAAGGTATTAAGTATTAATAATTACAATTGCAATAATTAAGAAACTAAATCAAAGCTTACCAAGTAGTTCAAATTTTCTTATTTTAGTTCGACTGCTAGACGATAGCCCTGTAACGTGATTAAATTTGGATGGTTTATACTCTTTCGCCTGATTCAGGCGGTTCCATAGATGTTTTCTAGTGATGTCACTAGAAGTATTATATAACTACTATGACAACTATTATTCAAGATAAAACGATCTATAATGAGACTGAATTTAAACAATCCTAATTCTACTACATTAACGCTTATCCAGTATCATAAAATATTGATTGTTTATTAAATCCAGAGCCATATAAGTGTCGAAAGCAAGGTGTTTCATCATACTACCAGGCTATTACAGATATCTAAATATGACAAAGGTCACATTTGCTTTTATCATGTGATTATTCAGATGATTGAACAACAAGAATGAGATACATTCATGAATCTATATGAAAATACAGATTAGTATGCTACTACAATACGAATAGTTCACACAGAACCGTAGTATGATCCGAAAGTAGCATTTAAATGTTGATGAATGACTATGCTATTTATTCAATGAGAACTCAAATATAACCCACTTGCTATTGGCAATTAAATGTCATACAGCTTCGTAGCAATCAGTCACACCACATAGTCTTAGTTACATTATAGCCAGCAGGGGCTACATTTCCTAGTAGGTGCTTGTTGCAGAGTCAAGATCCCTCTACAGTATATTAGAGCTCTCAGCGCGATAGTGTAAAGTGGTAAACCCTAAAGCATTGACTAGAAAGGAACCTGTAAAGTTCTCCGGAAATGAAATCTTTCGTATGATTCTACGTATAAATACTATCGGTACCCAAAGTCTTTTTATTACGAATAATAATTAGTTTGATGTGAATATATTATGTTGTTACAGTATTAAATACTGTATTACAGTAGAAATAACTATGTTAGGATAATTCTGTTAGACTATCCTTATTTAGTTAACTTCTAATTTGGATATACTGTGTTTTAATATAGCACTGACTTTTTATGACAGTGACACTTATACACATACTGAAATTAATAGTTATAATAGGTAATGCAAATCATCTACTTACAGTTCGAATCATTGTGATTGTAATTTACTTATGGTAGACTGTAAATTATCATGGAAATGTTCCGTGATAGGACGTATCGTAATCTGACTATTCTGTATTAGTCATTACATGTCTATGTTCGTAAATACTGTTGTCTGCATTAAGGGAGCAGTAGCTAAAATTAATATCTAATTCAGTAAATAATTCTAATGTTAATTGTATTAACTATGACTCATGAACTATTGAGGAATAGTATATAAATGCAGTATATCGTGAAATAAAGAAGAATTGTCCAAATTAGTGTTTAACGTAAAATACGAGGCGTTTAAGTCTTTGTGTAGTCTGCTAGTAGAGCAAAAGTGTTTGTGATAGTGCAGATATCGTTCCTTGATACGTGGTTCAAGGAATTGACTTATTGATCGTATATTACGTTATCTTGTTGCAAAGCTGTTTTGTGACACTATCGTTTTCAAAATATCAGATAGCAATCGAATAGCTTAATAAATTGTATGCATCACTTTAGGACTTTCTTGTATTACTTAATGCTATAGAGTAATGTACATCGATAATATGCTCTACTTAGGTATATTAGCTGATGCAGTAAATATTGTATAAATGACATGCACTAGCTATAAGGGTTTCTAAAATAATAAAATGTCAAATAGCTAGTTAGCAATATAGAAAAAAATTACACCCGAAAATTATGTATCAATTTGTAATATCATTTTATTATAGCGCTATCATCTAATATAGTTATTGATGTTTAGTTGCATTATAGTTTAGAACTTAGGATTAAATTACAACCAACACTACTGATACTTGTTGAGGTTAAAAAATAAGAGTGAAAGGTTATTTGAAATTGGAAATCGACTAGAAATCCGAAATCAATATCATTACATAGACTAATGTAGGTGGGTGTAATGGCCACCTTTCTTAGTAATAGGAATAGTCAAAATCCGCCGTTGCCAATAAGGTTATTTAAATTATACTACTTATTTACTCAGAGTCTGAAAGTCTACATGGTATTCAAATCCATTAAATTGCTTGGCGGATTAATGACATGAAATAGTTTATATATCATATGCATGGTTGGTTTTCCGTATAACTTAATGCATAGATAATTTATCGCCATGCTATTCAGTATTACGATCTTATAAGCAAGTCAATTACAGCTGATACAAATATTATTAGAAGAACTGAATAGCTGATACTTCTAGCATCATTCGCTATTTCCATTTGAGGCAAAGTTCTTATGAATTTCTTAATCGGCATGGTTTCTTTCTAAAGTGCAAGTAGTATTAATATTAGTAAATGTTTAAACGCTTTTATTGAGCCTTTATCATGTTCAGAAATGCTACAATTTGTTATAGATCGTCATCTTACTGGCTATCACTGCTGTTGTAGATAAACATTTTACATACAGTGATAGCTTACCTCCTGCATTAGTTTATGATCTCGAGCAGCACAATACTGATACGGTTGTATATTTTTCATCAGATCATGAAACGTATGTAATAGCTTCCCGTGCCCGATAGTCATATTATTCAAAATGTTCCACAGATATGGTGGCTTCGAAGGATAGTCATTATATGGCGCTGTTTGACCAGCTCTATTAGAAGGCATGTAAGCAAATGTTAAAGTAAAGCAAGTTACGACCAGTTTCTTTTAAAACAGTTAGAAACATTTCTTTTCGGTGTATATCATATGTAAACTAATGTCGATGTTAATAATGATAGAAAAAATAACTGACTTAAGATTCCAGTAGCATAAAAACAGAGAACGTTATGGAACTTACGCTCTTAGCGCATTTATATAAGGGACCATATGAAGATAATTCTCATAAGATAGACACACAGACATTTCTTGTTTTGGATAATAAAGAAAAAATCCGAGGCACATTTCATCTTTCGTACCGATTCCCCCCTTTCCATTATCATCATAAAAATAAAGACGTGTATTGAAATTTTTACCATATTACACAATTGTACTTAGATCATCTTTTCTATATGTATTAACTGATAGATATATATTTGAGTCACATAAATACTTTCTATATTGCATCAAGCTCATTTCGAGATTCTGTAAGAACATTAATTTTTAAGCGAAGTATAATGAATCTCAATAGTATATAATTTTAGCGTTAACTTACAACAGTAACTTTCTTCCTTCCCTCAGTGTTATAACCGCAAATCGTGGTCAACTGATCGCCCTATACAATTGGCATATTAAGAAAACTTCCTAAATTAATTCCGTAGTCGGTAGCTGCATCATAAAATAAAATAAACTAATAATAAATAACAGTTACCGGCATGATTTTTATTTCCTGCTTATAAAACATAAGATCTTGATAATTAAAATCATAATGTGGATTATGCGCTAGATTTGCAAGTTCTTTACCGTCACGGTAATGTTTGACCGTTAAGGTTCGACCTACCACAGCCAAAAATTTATGAACCCACAAAATATAATCGGAACTCGAGAATATGAGTATACATCATACCGATATAAATGTATGTATCACTATACGATCTTGTTAGACAGCATAGAATCAATATTAACCTGCTAAATGGGTATGGAGCATTCCGCCCAGGACATTAATACCGGCAGCGGGCAGATTCTATATATTTAGCGTAGGAAAAACATTTAAACAATAAGTGATAACTTTAAATCAGTAATAACTGAATGTGTACGTTATTGGCGAACCCGAAACGACTATACAATTCTTCGAAATGAGATCTGATTTTGAACTAATGAAATTCTATACTGATTTTCATTACATACCAGTAGTACACTAATTAAAGGCGTGATATAATAATAGTAAGATGTTATTACATACCCTTCGAGTGCAATCTTCCGAACAATATCCAATGGTCTGCCACGTCTTTAATCCTTCAGGTATCATTTGAAAAGGGCCTACAGATCTTCCAACTTCAAGAATACCGGCGTCATATTGCCGTTTTTGATGAGTATAATAAAAGGTCATGCCAGATGCGTCGACTACCCCTAAAACATATAAAATTCAATCAGTTAGAATTTCAGCTAAGATTGTATCTCGTAAATGGTAGTACGAATAAACGCGATAGTAAAGGTTCTTAACCTGACAGTAAATTGGGATTATCATAATGCGTTTCCATTAAGACATATTTAGTTCCGTATAGCCCCCCTAATGGCAGTCCAACATGAGCAGGAAGGGATGTATCCTAGTTACAGGAGTTACATATTTAATGACCGTTAGTAAATTCTAATAACCGCTCCTTCTGCATGGCTTTATTTCCAGCGACATTAGTGAGAGACATTTTATTAGTTAAAATAGCACACAAAAATATTCCTGAATAATCTAATACTTTACCTCACCGCCCACGGCCCAAGCAGCGAGTAAAGTTGCTCCACGGCAATCTCCCAAACCTTCAGGCATGTTAGCTGAGTCACAATCCTCACTTGTTCCATGGAGGTGCTCTTCAAAGGTGCAATCGTAAATAAGAATATGATGAACTAGGCCTTCGTTACCTTTTTGTATTTTTGGTGTCAACTGATAAATTTAATGGTGAAATGGAATTGTTAGTATCATCCATAAAAACAAGTACCATTACATTTATTCACTTAAATAGAGTCACGCAGAATAGCTAATTTCAGGATATTATTATATACTACATCTAAAGACCTCATTCTTTAACACTAGAATTAAAAGTAATATTCATTAATGAACCTATGTTTTCAATTGATATAAAATACTATGATCGTTTCTTACCCTAATTACATGTGCTGTGCCATTGACTTCAGGCAACTTTAGAGCCGTGCACCAGTAAGTGGTAGCTGCTGCAGGAATGGTTACCTAACAATGAATAAAGGCGTCTTTTTTTATTCTGATAAGAAAAGTATTACAGATTTACTGAAATAAGCGTTAACGTAACAAATGCATTGTATTTTACATATAGCTATAAAGAATTGCAATTAATTAATTTTATAGAATTTATAAATTGGCATTAAACTGTGCAATCATTCTGCCTATTACTCGTATTAATCTAGCGTAGACATTGAAAACACTATAAAGCACTTACATTTTTTGCTAAGACATCAAAGGTCTTCGTATCATTAGGCATTGGTGGTTTATCCTTTTCAGGAAGAGTATTGAAAAGGTTTAAGCTACGAGTTCCTTGGTATTCATGTTTTGTGTAGACTTCCGGTGACGAAGGATCGGAACTATGGTAAGACCAGATCAATCTTGTGGTACCACCCTATACCATATTTCGTTTAAATAGATCAAATACTTATATAATCAGTATATTAGCATGACTATCTCTATTACTACTTTGACGCCAAATTAGCCGTAAAGACGTAACTGATCCGTCGTATATATCTACTAAGATTAAACGCCCACGACCGTAAACCAAGGCTCCAAATATAAAATATTATAAGGTAAAAGTAATATGCGGATATGATAGTATTGGGATTTAATTATTGTCTCTATTTTATTTTATAAATTCTGCGAGCAATAATTCTAATATGATGCTTCACAACATACTTCAAGCGGTAAATCTCTACTATCGCTAGTATTGTATTTTCTTTTAAATTTTAATATAGTCATTCCATTAGCTTCTTCACCACTTATCAAAGTATAATCTTGTTGAGTATCCAAAGTTGGAACGACATGACCAGTAGCATATCTATCCTGTAATCCAAGTTCGATAGTAATAATTTTGATATAAAAATTATGGTTTATACATTAAAATAGCAAACGAATAGTAACTAAAGTATATATAAATGTTTTGTACACTTAGTAGTTTAAACCAATTAGTGAATCTCTAAATATTGAGTTACTTGACTTGAAATTTAAGTTATGATGTTAAGTTGTCACTATTTTTACCTGCAAGTAGGTTTTCCCTTGGTTATCCACCCAACCGATGACAGTATCTGATCCTGGCATTCTACCAGTATAAGGAGAAATTCCAAAGCCGATCCATCCAGTAGTTTGGACCGTAATAGCGACATGCATAACCTTCAGTTTATCGTCCATAGTCCAATACATGACGTACTTTCCTTTATCATCTAATGTCGCAATATGAGCATAGCTATCTTTTAAAGTAGCTGCGTACACTACATTGACAATGAGTGCAAACAATAATAAAAGAGTAATAACGCGCATTTTCGGATGTACCTAAAAAATGGAATGTGATGTCTATGTTACGTGAAATTTGGTAGATACAGTTGAAAGCTTTAGTTAGATTTATTGCTTTATTACAATATCGCGTAATGTCTGGCGTTAGAGATTAACTTGGCCCCTTGTGCCAATTTGGGAACGATAGCAACTAAAATATATTACTAATGGAACAGAAGTGGTTAGAAGGAATAAACTTGTAGCCTATGTAAAGGTTAAATATAGGAAAGAATCCTTCGAGTAAAGGCTTTATAAACTATGACTAATAGTTGGAGCATGTTACGACTTTTTAACACACTCAGCAAATGCCCCAGTACTACGAATATGGCATGACTGATACATCATGCTAGCGAAATATTCCTAGTTGAAGAAGACCCCATACTTTTGTCAAAACTTGTAACTACAAATATCAAGTATGAAAATAAAGTATCCTGTCCTATGATAGATTAAGACTATTATCTTCGGCCATGATTTCTTAAGATTGGGTCTCAGTTTCCTAGAAATAATCCCAATTAGAGCTCACACATTTCTGCATTCAGTACAGAACTGTTACGGTAGCCAAGAAGTGTGAAAGCCGATATAATTTACTATCATATCGTATTAGTGTACCAAGTCATGTTGTTTCAAAACGGGATTCACATGATATACCGTCAGTGCAATACTTTCTAGATACAGAGTCGTTGATTTCTGACCGAGTTTAGTGCAGGTTAAAAATTATTGTTGCCAGATCCGGTGTTAATAGCTATAGTCAGTCATAACTATATAATGAGGTAGGGGGTAAACAAACGTTTTAAGATGATGATATACACGTAGATAACAATTTAGTTCACCCTAAGGACTATCCTAAATGAGACTATCACAGTTATTATTGTGGCCGGATCCGGTAGTCATAGTCAGCCATAAGTACATAACGAGGACTGGTATAAATAAGTGTTTTGAGATAGATGAAAATGATGATCGAGTAATAACAATTCATTTCATCCCTAACCACTATCCTAAATGAGACTATGACATCATCCACGACACGTTGTTATTATTCCATGTTAATTAACGGGTTTCTTCAACTTAAAATTAAAAGAGGAATAATTAGCCACTACAGGCTGCTTTGCCGGTCGTTTAGCCAATTCATTTTTCATGAACAGTCGGCATATTAGCTTGTACAGGATATGCACGCACAACAAATTGATATTCCACTGCTGTACTCTAGTTAGATCATTCAACCCGTAAATTGAATGGTGTAAAAGCGAGAAAAGTTCTCTCGCTTATTCAAGTTGATCAACATTAAGATCATTTGGATCCACCGTTATCTTATATCAGCCGTGTGTATTCAATCTTATCATCAATACATTAAACAAGCAAACTATTGAAAATTATCGATTACAATCTCGCTTACAATCTTTACAATCTTGGTTCTTGTGATTTTACTGCTGTTCAAATCGAGTATTATTTATCTGCTTGCGCGGCATATTTTCACGTCTGTTCAGCCTTCCTTAATTGAAGAGATATTCTGAACAAGAAAAACTGAATTAAGGTGCCTTGTACACTCTGTACAAGACTGATTATAAAGTTTTCAATAATAATAATAATAATAGCCCAAACATCTATTCCATTATACGACATATTACGTCAGTCCTTTGCCGACATTGAATAAAGATGAAAAGTTAATCATGTCTGTCGACTGCGCTGTCCGCATCCACCAACCGTACGGTCCAATAACAGTATCGAATACAGCGTACATGTAGGTAATACGCATGATGACAGCTTGTAGCTTAATTGACTAGAGTCTAGCACTATTAGTAGCTAATTGAAGGATAACAATGATTATTAATCGTAAAATAATAGTCAATGAAATAAGGCTGCTGTTTACTAATGTATTCTAGGCATAGACACACAGCACAGTGAAGAACAAGAACGAGTACTCCCTATGGCTACATTCTGAATAATAGTATACTGTATATTTAGTGGCAAATGTCTCTAGGGCTCTACATACAGTGAGTGTATTGACGGACTCAAGTTGTTACAGCGCTTGACTACTGGTTATGACGTCATAGTAAGGGAAAAGATAGAGTTGCTGTAAATGGAAAAAATGACGTTTACCTTAAAGCTAAAACTAATAAAGTTTTCTTTTTTTTTTACCTTTGTACTGCGGTAAACGGATTTATAACATAGGTTTGCAATCCACTACCTGACTATTAAAATTAAGCAAAATAACGTGACAGAATTACTTCTGGTGCTGTTGTACTTCATGTTCCTACTGTAATTAGCTGAAATGACTACAATCATAAATGTTATCGTGGCTGAGCGCACCTTTTCCGTATACGGAAATTAGGCTAAAAATAAAACGAACTTTATGAAAGTGCCAGCTCCTTACATACTGTATATATATATATTATCTGACCAGTCCGCCATTAGACGAAATGATCAACTTCAAAATGGTGCTTTACTAAACCCGATAACTCACCATCATCATGATTTGTAGATGTTGCCTGGACCTATTGACAGTGATAGTGTAAAGTAAAATGTATAAGTATAGTATGCAAAGTATAGCGAGCGAGAAATGGATTAGTTAAAAGGAACGAGAGGGGTAGGAAATGATCATTTGATGTACTCATCATGTGGGGCTGACTATTTCATTGGTTATTTCAACTGAAATGTACTTCTAAAATAATACACTATACAATACTGTCTAAGATTAGCTGAATGATTGGTTTTATACAGTGTAGTACAATGTACGGTTTCTGTAGTAACACATTGTAATAGAATGACTAGAAAAATAACAAGTCTGCAATAAGTACGAATTTTGTACTGATACAGTCTGGAACTACTAAAAGAGAGTATGAATGTAAAGTAGCTGCGTTGCCTTTATTTTATTACATGCATAACTGATTTCGGATGTTAGCCATAAGATATATTTTAGAAGAACATTATACGCGCATGTTGTAAGTATGTGATTCGATCAAAGATTGTTTACTCAGTTGCAAAGTGCGCTACTGATTACAGCACTATTGCATGGCGGTTAATAAAAATATATAACACAAAAAATATAAACACTAAAAGCACAGGAGATAACACTACACCATTTGTAGATAAATCAGGATCCGAGGTATTAACAGTACCCATTGGATTGAAGAAATTTGTAGATCAGATTTAAGAGTAAACTAGAAATAGGCATTCCACGTAACTTCACGATATTGGGCAGTCTGTGCATTAATGTACACACAGGGCAGGGCGTATTACAAAAGTCTCTAGGTCGCATTTCAACCCCTGCAGTTCCTTTTACGGTCGCGTGTAAGGGCGAGGACGAAGGGGAGAGCCCTATTTTGTTATTCGTTTAGTCTTATAATCAACTTGCTCGAAGAGACACTGTGTGTAGGCATTTTAAACACCAAGCAATACAAAAGTTCCTATAGAACAATACTAAATATTATTTAAAAAAAGCACAAGTCAGTTGTTTACTAATGATATAGAATTATTGATTAATTATAACAAAATTAGTTGATTATTGCTGGGATAGAATTATTCATAAATTTCGTATAGAACTAAACTACTGTAAGATTTTCGTCTATACCATATAGACATAATCGAAACTTGCTTAGCTACAAGTTTCGTCTAGAGCTATCACTTACTAAAACAAGAAGAGAATCATTCATTCTTTCGTTATTAATAATATATTTGCGAACATAAATGTATTGGCTTATCAGATGGATGAGAAATATTGATTTATTCTTGGCAACAATTATACCAATAAGTCGCAAAAAAAATTGACAGCCACGAATATTAATGTATTACAAAAATTATTCCGGAAAGACTTTCGGACAAACTCTTCCAAATTACTTGGCTACAATAGTAAATATCAGTTGAAACTCACTTACTATAAACTTAACTATACGACAACTACGGGAAAGAGAGCTGTAACGTTATCATGAATATCGTTTCTATAGAATGAAATAAATGAAGAAAATACTATTTACCATTAAATACTAAGTTACGACCATTTATAGTATAATCATATTTTGAAGTTATTTTCTAGATTAAAAGTTCAAAGTTCAAAAGTGGTAAAAACTGCTAACAAGACTAGCCAATGAAATTTTAGAAACAGCATTATTGTTATTATTTGCTGAGCTAGTAATGATACTGCGTACAGAACTGTGAACCTCAAAGGGAAGTCTTCGTCTCGATGTAGAGTTAATGCTTCCAAAAGTATCGATAATAAACGCAATATATGTCGTTATAAATAATATTTCTATCTGATTTTCACGGCAAAGGCAATATTTTTCATTCATAACTCTCCAAGTTAGATCTAATATCTTAATGACTTAATGACTTTGTTGTTTGTTTGTGGAAGAGACTTCACAAAGGGCTGGTCTATTAGATTAATACATTAGTATAAAAATATTTTGCTATTCTAATTTGTAATTTTAATTTTTATTCACTATGCTCATTTTTTGATACTTGAAGGGAAATACTATATTTTCGTAAACTTTAGGTTAAACTTAATTAACGAAACATTATTTTGCATCAAATTTATTATTAATTCAATAAAATAGCCTAATCAACCGTTATTAACTTTTGTGAAAGAGTCCATTTGATTTGAATAGATGAAAGTTACAAAATTCGATGCATTACTAAAATTATTACATAATACAAAAGCCCATATAAATCAAAGTTTTCACTCCTTTAAAATTAATATCTTGTAGCCAAGAATTAGTATCTAAGCTATTACCGTGCATCTGTAGTATCTTTTTACATTCTTTCAACTCTAGTTATCAGTGAACTTAAGATATTCATGCTACTGTACTTATCGAAATTAATTTTCAAACGCAGAATATAAAAACAATGTCCATTATTTTCCTTCACTCAGATATAAACTGTTTAATAAATGCTGTCAAAGTCATCCTAAGTCATTTTCAAATAAAGCTCGAAGCCTTGCTTATAATTGCGTGTTGAAAAAATTCGATTTTATTATAATGAATACCCATTAAATGCGAGCAATTATCGCTCAGAAAATTTTCGTTGGGTAAGACAATTAAATTAAGAGGCCGCATTTTGTGACATATTAGTAGCCTAGACTTTGCTACTTTAAAAGCTAGGAGCAACCAATATGCTTGCTTTTGACTACATAACTCTGCTTCAAGCATATTAAACTCTTACACGAACTGGACTCAGTGATCACAGCAAGGAAGCATAACTACAATAAAATCTGACAGAATGCATTCCTATCTTGATTATGTAACCTAAGTTTATTTTGAAAAGAACATTATGGAATAAATAATTGAGCTTCAATCGGAGAAATAATTAATTGAAATATTATTAAATCAACCCCAAGCATAAAAGAATTAATTTAATATTTTTCTACCTCCCAAAAATGGAGTTTAATTGGAATCAGTCTCACAAGAGTAATCAGTTACTCCAATTCTACTCTTTATATTAATTTGATGATACGGGTATTCTTAATAATACATCACTTCAACATGTAAATTCAACTAAATTCACTATAATAAATTAATTTGGTACCAGGTACAGCAAGTATAAACAATATGCAAAAGAGCAACGTCAGGAGATCAGCTGGATAGCATCGCCAAAATGTAAATATAGTAAGAGAGGGCGATTAATTGATTGACTGATGCTATAAATGTTTATTGAATTAATACATGATTCTATCTTTAATCAGACCTATAAATTTATCCCTTAGCTATAGCTGAGGTCATTCTTCAATCCTTCTTTTCATCCCACTGAGGAGTAGGTTGGAGCTTTGTTGAGACTTAACTTTTTCTTGAATAATCAACTAGCTGATTGAGGATAGTCAGAAGATGCAGATGGAAATTGAAGATGAAACATCTAGAAAAGCCAAAGATGGCTACTACTTTACTAAACGCAAATTGATCATTGCCGCTATTGTTGTAGTAGTTGTCATTATAATAGTTGGAGTAAGTGCAGGGTTGACTGGAAGAGCATTAGCATCACACGGGGAGACCCAAAGTACTGAAAAACCTACAGATAAAATGACTGAAGAACCCACGATGGGTCCAACTGTTGGTAGACCAACAACTGGTAGACCACAACTGAACCAACAACAGAAGAAACCTATGCCTACAGCTCCTGCACCAACACCATTTACTGGTAGCAAAGCAGTAATGAATAACATTCGATTACCAGGCAATGTTGAACCAGTACACTATGAATTCAGTCTTGATATCGATGTGTTGGGCAAAAAATTCAACGGTACTAATGTTGCCGAATTTAAATTGGTGAAATCGACCGATATCATCTTGATTCACAGGAAAATGATGGAATTAACCAAGGAGCCCCTCTTGTCTACTGATGAATCATTTGCTGCCGATAAATTAATTACTTTAAAGGAAGTTGGATATTACTCCAAGTATGAATATCAATATATGATGGTAGATACTCCTTTAGCACTTGGTACTTACTACTTGAAGCTGGAATTTAAAGCTGATTTGACAGAAAGTCTTTTTGGAATCTACCTAAGCCAGTATAGACAATACGATGGCAAAGAAGTGTAAGTCACAATTCTTGTAAATTAGCATGCTATTTAGTTTAAACAACGATAGCATCTGTTGCACCTTTTACATGTTGATTACTGATACTAATGCTTATTATATTGTATAGCAATGCAATATTGATAGAGAGCCTTGTTAATGAAATATCCAATGATTTCCTAGTAAAATTTTTTAGCTCATTAACCAATAAATTACTATTATTTTGTTGTTTTTGTCATATGGTCACATGTTCCTATCCCAATCTCATACGGTATATGGCGGCACGTTGTGTTCTTGACACACTATAAACAAATCATTCATTAGTGTTAAAACCTGTTTCTCTTTATAGGTATTAGCTACATATATTACCTTAGTGTTAGCAACGCACCCACATATTTCAGATATACAATCTGAAGGTGTAGAGTGTGTTGGAAAACATCTATTTTTTTAATACAGAAATTGGTTTATTGCAGGCCACCTTGATGTCACTGTATTTAACATTAGAATACATGCAATCATTTTATAAAGGCAACGCATTACAGTATGATACTTAATTTTATTAACTAGCATAAATACGAGCATATTGTCTTTACTAGATTGCTAACGGCGATGCACACTTAAAAATACGCACATTTAACCTCAAAATTATTGTACTATACGAGTATAAGTGTACACCGTACTTCATTTACCCTATTTCTACTTAATTAATCTATAGCTTCCATTATTGTTATCATTACATTACACTAATATTCCATATATTATTGGATAAAGCTATTGCAATTAATTTACATAATCAAAACAGTTTTATTATTAAGTTTAATGTACAGATAGGTCATTTCATAATATTAATATAAAAAGGTCAAGCAATGGCAACTACAGTATTTCTAATATTGTTTGTTACCGCGAACAACTAATTAAGCAAGATTGATATTGCACTGCGCAGTACATATCAGCATTACATCAAAACTACTAGTAGATTTATCGATCTAGTGTTCTGCCTGAACGAAAAAACTAACATTATTGCTGCATATTATTATTTATAAAGTCTAGTCAAAACATAACTGACTAACCACGTAATGAATTTATCATTATAAAATAGATGGATGGTAGGAAGTCAATGTGAACCAGCCGAAGCTCGTCGTATTATGCCTTTGTTTGATGAGCCAACATTGAAGGCTACCTTTGACGCAAGTATTACTGTTGACAGTCGATATCTCGCTTTATGGAATATGCCGAGCACAGGCAACACCACTTTACCCAACGGAAAAATCAATTTCAAATACGAAAGTAACTTTTGAATAAATTTAGCTTAAATAATGAAAAAATCACACTTACAAAGGCCTGTTGTAATGGATGAATAACTATTTACAATTTACTATCGGAATTTTTATCGCAGAAAGCGTCAAAATGAGCACATACCTCTTGGCATTTGTTATTAGTGAATATGCTGCTATTGAAGAAAAAACTAATCGCGGAACAACGGTAAAATCTAAAAATTATCTCGCTTGAACATTTGTTAGAAAAATATTCTTATATGCATAGCTTAGTCTACCAACTACCCAATAAAACTTACATGTACCGTTTTATCACGATGTAATTTCCAATAGATGCGTATATGGGCACCTAAAGATCGTGTCCATTACGGTGCTTGGGCCTTACGAGCTGGTATCATGATGACTGAATATTTTGAATGCCTTTTCAACCAAACATATCCGTTATCCAAGCAAGGTACTAGTTAATTATATAAGTAGATCAATTTTATAGTATTCGCATCTCAGTTAAAGTACTATGATTAGGATATTCTTGTATCAGTTAATCTCGCATCAATTTCATACATTTCTTTCTTATTAAAGCATGGATGACAAAAGTTGTTAATTTATATCTTTTTATATCATAAAATTTATTTAAATAATTAACAATTGCCAAATTCAGTAGCATATTTGAGTTACGTACCGAGATAAAGTGGATGTTAACCTAGTAACGAATTTAATTGCTTACAGACATGGTATCAATTTCCGACTTCAACTTCGGTGCAATGGAAAATTGGGGCTTGATCATATACGTCGAAAGAGCTCTCTTATTTAATGAAAACGAGGACACCGATGGGTTTAAGGAGATCATCGCCAGAATCGTCTGCCATGAACTCGCTCATATGGTATGATGATTTTACTGTATACTCTACTTTCGTAAATTAAATTAATAAAGACATCATGTAAATACACAGACACGCATGATATGTTGTCTGTAGAAACATGACCCAAAGGCTAGGTTATGTATTTTACAATATTGAGCACATGTTGAACTGCTACATCATCTCTTGTAAATCACAAATTTAAATTGCTGTTTCGACCTTAGTGGTTTGGCAATCTAGTAACTTTCCATTGGTGGAATAACGTCTGGATTAACGAAGGATTTGCCACCTTTTATGAATACTTCGGAACAGCAGCTTTTATGCCAACATGGGAGATGGTAAGAATTATTGACTAATCATTATTCTGTATAATAAAATTGAAGATGATTATTCCATTAATCATCATTTTTCTAACACGTTAAAAATTTATACAAGTTCTTTTACTTATATTAAGTTTGCACGAAATATGTTAGTATTTACTTATATAGCTCTTAATTTTTTTATGCCATTAATTTGAATTTAATTTATTGACATTAACAAAACCAACAGTTATTTAAGCATAATATCAATACACATAATAGCAATACTAACTCATTATAATGTTATATCGGGGTCGTAATTTCTATGTAAATATTTATTTCATTACCTGTACGAATGAAAATGAAAAAATTTGACTCGTTTTATACTTTCATTGAATAGATGAATGTGTTCTTGGTACGAGAGGTACAACCAGGATTACGAAGTGATGCGTCTAAATTGTCACACCCTATGGAAGTCCACCATTTCCCAAGCAATAACATGATTTTGGATTATTTTTCAGCCGTTGCTTATAACAAAGTAAATTACTACACAAAATTTACATGGTTAAAAGATAAATATTATCACCTAATAAATTTTAAACAGAACTTTATTTCAATTGTCTCTACCGCGGCGTTTATTTATTACTAACAGTAGTTGTATCTTACTTTAAGATAGACATCATTTTTTATACTCTATAACCTCTAATGAGATTTCATTTTGAAAGAATTGACGAGTAAAAGTTCTAAATTTATTATACTAAAATGACAATATCGATAATTTTATCAAATATTATATGATTACCTAGGGAGGTAGTGTACTACGCATGTTGAGGAACATGTTAGGAAATGACAAGTTCGATGCTGCAATCAGGGTAAGGATCACTCTAGCAGTAGCCCATATCGAACAAATGCTTGTTGCATATTTTACAAGCGCTATTGTTCGGTATTATAATTTTTAAAATAAATTCTCCAGTTCCATGTAATCTTTTCATATGCTTTTCGTTAATTTTTAATATGCGGATATAGCTATACGTGCAACAAAATAAATGGAAGGAAGCTTATCCACACTCGCTATGGTCTGCTTTACAGGAGGTAAATAGTGAATTCAGGAGAAAATATTTATTTCCTACGATACAACTAGACTATCAAATCATGAATTACTTTAATGCGTAAAAATTCTCATCTAAATCCGATTATTATTGCATTTAGTCAACAAAGAGCAGCTATAATATCACAGCTATCGGTAGTACTTGGATTAGACAAATGGGCCATCCAATTATAACCGTTGCACGCGATCCTAGTAATCCAAATAAAGGCATCTTTACTCAGCAACGCTACCTATCCAACAATACCTTGGATCCTAACTCAGAGCACCCAGCATCACCGCATAAATCTCCATACGGGTAACTGCTATAAGTTCTTTAAACGTGATTTTAAGGCAAACTTGGACCATAATTAATACTGTCATTATTTTTAAAATAATAATCGTGCCTAAACAATAGATATAAATGGAACATTCCCATCAACTGGTTCTTTGGTAGCAATAAATCAGCTAATTACTTTCAGGTTATCAACATGAAGGACGGTTAGTAATTATTGTAAAGTACTATCTTGTCAACAGTGACTGTAATAGATATCTATAAACTATTCACAGTTTTGACTATAAATGAAAATATTTATTCGTACATTTTAAAAATCGATGACCCATACGAGTTCCAAGGTCTTGGCATGAATTATATCATTAGCAACGAATTATATGACAACTGTTCTTTACTGTACCCTATAGTACAAACATCATTTGACTGGCCTGCGGGTCAATGGATCAAGGCAAATACTCACCAGTTTGGATTCTTTAGAGTTAATTACCCGGAAGAAAACTGGCTTGCTTTAGCTAACGGGTTACAAAAAAATCTGATGGTAAGTAGGAAATGTTACACAACCTTTTTCTACATAAGATTACGAAATTTATAATAGCGTATATGTATAAATTGGAGCCAGCTTATTCAGCATTTCTAATTCTTTTTTAAATTATGTTATTATGTATCATAGGCATTAGATACCCGTGATATTTCCAATCTCATTGATGATTCTATGACTTTTGCTGAGTAATATAAAATAAAATTAGTTCTGTAATATAAAAAATGAAACAAATTATGTATTGTATAGCAGATTGAATATGTCATAAACATAATCAATAAATTCTTAAATCTGAATGCCTGCTAATTTCGATGCGAGGTGGCTAAAGCAATATATCAATTATTTTTCGTAGGGCTGAAATGATAAAGTATAGTACCGCTCTTGAATTTACCAAATACTTGATTAAGGAAACTCATTACCTGCCTTGGTTCACAGCTATTGGCAGGTTGGAACATATAGTTGATCGCCTAGAAAATACCGGAAATTTTGGATATTTTGCCGTAAGTATCTAATTTCCGCCATAACTTCATATAATTATTGCAAAGGCCTTTTATAAAGGTCTTGAGGCTAATAAGCGTGATATTAGATCTGAAGGTGAAAGAAATTTGCAATTAACATAATAAATTTTTATGTAAGGCGTAAATATCTCGGCTAACTATCGTATTTAAAATTTTTAGAATTATTACTTACAACAATTGAAGCCATTGCTTAAGATCTTAAAATTCGAAAATACTGGTGACCACTTGGAAAGGTGATAAGAAGTCCATCATTAACCTCACTAATGTAAAAAGTAACTGAATCAGTCAATAGTACTTTATAAATTTTCACGTACGGTATCCAACACCATATTTACTATGGTAATTAACGTTCTTCCTTACAAAACGTTTATGATAAACTGTAATACTTGAGTATTCATTCATTCCCATTCGAAGTTCAATATATAGCGCCGCCTAACATTTAAATTGTGAAATTCATATTAGAATTGATATTAGTATTTCTATTTAGACCATCACATATATAATAAGAGTTATTTTTGCGTGTTGTTGCTACAACTTATAATAATAATGTCGCAATAGGCAATATTCGCTTATCCTAACTCATATTTTAATTTTGAATTACAGATTACTAAGAGTAGCAGCTATGGGAGTTGCATGCCGTCTTAACGAGTATGAATGCAATAAGGATGCCAGCAAGATGTTCTGGGATAACGCTATGAATGACTCTAACATGTACAGGCAACTTGTGACAAAAATTAAGCTGTATTGTAATGTTTACTTACGCATATACCAAACTTTTGCTAAAGACAATTAAAAATTAAAATTACAAGGATTTTGAGTAGTTACTAATAAAATTGAGGAATGATAGTATCTCAGTAGACAAATAAGCCATAATTCTTTGATAAGATCAAGTGGTTTAATCTGTTCTGCGATGATCACATACCACTGTACCGTACTCAATATTTCATATTTTAAATAATCTTACAGTCGTTGACACACACCAGCCGGCGACTTCTTTATTCTCTTAATCGCTTATTTTAATCTTTCATTATCTGAATTATAGGATACCACCATCTTTGAGGAGAATAGTCTTATCGGCAGCTGTTGCTAATGGAGATTCTAGGGCCTTCACCAGGATATGGAATAAACTTAATACCACGTATAAGACTACCATTAGACCAGATATGTTAAGGGCTTTAGCTAGATCTAAAGAACCTTGGTTGCTTAAGGCGTGAGTAAAAACTCTTACAAATTCTTTCAAATAAATTTAAACTGTTTGAATTCTTTATCTAACAAGATTTTTTATTTATAAATGATGTCTTGACTATATCAATTTAATGTTGTTAAATAAACAAATATTCATTATAATTTCATTCTATAGCTACATACATATGGCACTCCATTCAAATAATCTTAGCCAAGGCGAAAAAGCTAACGTCTTTAATTTCGTAGCCGCGAATCCTGTTGGTCGACATGTACCGTGGGAATATATCAAAACTAACTTCAACATGATGTATGGACAGTAAGTATAATGCCAGCAGTAACTAATAATTTCAATAAGCAAACTCAGTCGGGCATTCATTTAATAATTCCTCGTTGATTAGTCTCTGTATAGGTATTAGTTTCTAGTATAGTGCTATTCCAAGTATAATATACTGATTAAATATAGCAGAAGGACTCTATTTATACTATTACTGCTATAATAATAACCTTACATGATAGCTACAGTAAAAAATCGACATCATTATAGATAAACCCCATATAATGTGCATATAGTACCATAAGTGCAAGATAAAAATATATCGCAGAAGCAACAGATTTTAATTATAAAAAATACATCAAGTCTAGATTTTTGTGCTCATCACGGATTAACGAATTTGCTTCCGTGCTTTTCTATTAACACCAAACAGGGCTAAAAACAATTCTCAATTGAATACATTTGGAAGAATGTTCGTAAGCTCTGTCCAGAGATTCGATACCATGCCAAAGTATATGGAGGTTAGACTTCAGAAACATGAATTTAAGATACGATCCTTTATTATCAAATAATTTATACATACACTTGGCATAATTTAGACATAGATGTAGAACTAGAAATTGATATTTTCATTCCCTCATTTCTAGGTGGAAATGTTCTTTGAGAGACATCCAGAGCTTAGCGGTTATAAATCTTCTGTATTAAATAGCATCCATACCAACATTATGTGGTTACAAAAACATGCAATGCAAATTAAGCAGTTTTGTCAGGCTAATACAGAGCATATGGAGACTATGTAATTGATTTACTATGGCTCTCTAAACTGCGAGGTAATAGTAATATATTATCAGTATTATGTAATCTGCTTTAACGTACGACTAGATTAACCTTAATTCGATGTTATTTTAATCATATTGGTGGATGCTGTGTCGCACATCAATAAAGATAATATTGCTGTAAAATGTCTGGTTTCATCAATTTTATCACATTTGTAAAGATCAAACGCAAAAATGGCCAGAGAATGTGGCCTATACTGTTAGAATAATGATTTTAACTTCGACACTTGAATTAGATTAACTAAAAAAATAGATCTTGATTGGTTGATTACAATTTTTAGACATGAATTTGAAATGATCCTTTCGACAATTATCTGCCCTCAGAAAGTGAAAATACTTAGCCGTTATTGCTAGATTAGGCCTATATTACTACATCTGCTGTCGTAATCAACGAAGCTAGATGAACTAAATAAGTTTAATTTCGACGTACTTGTGCATACAAATCACGTTCACCTGTGTTAAATAAAATATACTGCCAACCCAAAATATATTAATTGCATCACTTTCGACTAGTTATAACTAAGTCATAGCTATCGAATTAAAGTATTTGTTACAGATATTCTATAAAGTGTACATACATACGATAGCGTACTCTTGAGTTTTATATCACTTTTACAGGCTAATTTTGGCTATCTATAAACGTAATACATTGAAATTACTGGCATCTTATGCAAACTTCTAGCTGCAAAAAGTACAGTAGTATAGTATTACCTCTACCATAGATAATATAAAGCAAGCGGAAATAGCATAACTTATTATAGTAGTAAAACGCCCTGCCTAGGATGCTTTCGAGTAGATCTGCCATTAGTACAGCACTTATTGGAGGAAATATAAATCGTAGGCTAGCAGGATGATTCTTAAGGCCTACTGGTATATCACTCTTTAGTGATTTAATACCTATGAATTCAATTTATTCAATCCATCCATTTACTGGTATGAAAACGATAGTTAAGGATTACAATAGACATACGGCATGTTTTCGACAATCTTATACTTTGGAATTGCTTGTTTGGATAGCCTTAAATCCTACATTTACACAGCCAATACTTATTCGGAAGGCTAATTTTATGAGTGATCAACCATGCTAAATTTATGCCAGCTACGTATAGCTACTAATTAGGAATCATCACCTCTATATGACAAACATGAAAATAGGAGTTACATAAAGCACTTTACTAGTGGTTAACAACTGTAAGATAAAAAAGCTAATTATATGAGCATGTTAAGAAATAATTATTCTGAGCATCATATTCACGCGTAGACAAGCTTTCTATAATACCAATGCTGTTGCTAAAACGACATAAATTATGAAAGAAAACAGATAAACTGAAGTCGCCGAAACAGCAGCACTTGTAATTGGGGCTGTATAATTTGCCGCTGATATAAAATTAGGAATTTTTTGGCCATAGCTCTGTTTGATTTCCGTTGTTAATCATAAAGGAAGAAATTAAATGGAAATTGATAAGAAAAATTGAGTAAACGCATACTTAACACCCATGAGAAAGTAGATTGTTATTATCCTTAAAGGCTATAAAAATTACGCCTTCAGCTATAACATTGATAATCCTTAGTTATGAAATAAATTGCAATGCTACAATGAGATCGCATAATTATATAACGTACGATATTACTCACATCCATGATGATCGAGTGATTTTGATAGGAGCAATACATGTCAGGAGCACGATAAGTTTCTAAGTCATGCAGCTCTTTAATCAATGCGCTATCCCCTATAACGGTTTTTCTAACTGACTCCGCAAGACTGGTTGTGCTATTCGGAGTTGGATTAGGCATTCTGCCTTGTCTAAAAAAATTTAGTGACAAAGTAATGAGGAAGAGCCCTATCTTATTAAATTAAATTGAAAACTAGTCTATATTAGAACGATATTGGTAAAACTATATTTTATATTAGTAGCGGGAACGGTACTAATTCTAACATTTAACAACACACCTTCTAATAAATAAATTTAGTGTTACTAATTATTAAAGAATTTACTTCATGGAGGAGTAATACTCATTAACAAAGCGTTTTCTTAAAATGGTAATAAACTATTATGATTTCATAAAAAATTTCATTAAAAAAGCATTTAATAGAAATTTCTAATTCTCATCGACATGATGATGAAAATTTCTCTTACCAGACTATAAATTATCAACAGCTTACGTAATTTCATCTTTAATCAGATAGATGTGATTGATTAACTTGTGCAACGATATTAATTTATAAATATGCCAGTCTATACTGGCTTTTTCAATTTATTCTACACATATTAGTACATTTACAGTGTTTCTTTTAGATGAAAATATTACTATACGGGAAATTTTTCTTAAAGCTATAATTATCAACAGATTCACTTTAATATTAATCAAGGTATATGAAGTTATGCCTTCTTCTATTAATGCACTATAATTTACTTGTTACCCATTAAACAGTCAGTTTATTGCCGGTGATTTATACCACACATAATGTACAAAGATAGTTTCTAGCTATGGTATACAATTAATTTAAACTTACATAATAATCTAGAGAAAATGTGACTTATATTTCACGAAGTATATTTGTTTAGCGAAAGATTGAAAACTAAAATCACACAAAAATGAATTCTGCTGCTACTTATACAAAAAAACTTGATGCTGTATGGAACTAATTTTGTGAATAAAATGATCACTATATTTTATTTCCATCCCCAACACCATGTCATCAGAGAAATTTAAATGGATATTTTCAAAAGCAGATCCATAAATCAATTAATTAATTGGCACTTATCATAGATTCAGAAATCTACGTATTTAGATAAATACTTGCAGATATACTTACATGATTAATTTGGTGAAATAAGGTACAAGGTCAGTATATGATGCATATGTAACGCATACTGAAAACGGCAATTTAGGGTAGTAAAATACGTAATTAAGACACATTTCATCCTTAGTTGCTTCACCTCCCTAAATCATATATTGTGATTATACATAGAATTAGGGGTTAAGTACTAATAAATTAAATTTATCCTGAAATTTAGATACTTTATAAATTCATAGCATTTACCACAGTGCTAGTATTACGATTAGCGGTCTTATAGCTGCAAGTAATAGCCAAAGAATCTCCCTATGTAAGTCAGATGGGGTTAATTTTAATAAAGGTCGTAACATTATAGCATTGCACTACATAATGCATTCTACCGGCAACATTTTAATTTCATTCCTCAAATATAAAACTTCCTACAAAAGGAATAGACGACAATATTTCAATTAATAAAAGAATTCATAAAGCTTTCTTTCACATTATCTTCAAACAGAATATATCATCAACAGCAACAGAATAAAAAATACCATGCCAACTGGAATGTATTAATTTACCTGATAGTTGAAATCATAATGCTTATTTTGAGCGAGTAATGGCAATTCTTTGCCCTTTCTGAAGTGTCTTGCATATAATGCTACACCTGCACAGCAAAACATTTCAAACGTCAAATATAGGAAAAAGGAACAAGATTTCTAATCATAATTTAAAATAGGCCAGATCAGGTGCATCTGTATAATCAAATATGGCAAATCTCCTTACTGGTACAGCACTATTCAGCTACCTGCTAAATGAGTATGAAAGAATACTCCAAAGATGTTGATACCTGCCATAGGTATAGCCTAATAGGAAATATATGTCCTTACTGAGATACTGTATAATTACTGTAGAGTCCAAATATAGCGCGCAATAAAGTCTATATCATTGCATTAATATAATGAGTTTATAAAAGTAAGTAATCAGAGCTTTCACCCGTTCAGTGCACATTTGAGGGCAGTAACCGGTGATATTCCATTCGTCTTGTTTTTCTGGGATCATCATGGTTGGTGTAACCGCATGACCCATAGTTAAGGTTCCAACATCGTATTGGCGTAATTGTCGTGTATAAAATATTTTAAAACCGGAGGTATCGACAAAATCTGACAAAATATGAAAGATTAAAGTATTAGAAGCGTTGCTAATATTCTTCTAGATCGCTTTTACTCTCTACAATTAAATAAAACATATGAATCATGGCAACTGATTGCTCACCTGATCTACCTTCGGGATTATCATAGTGCATCTCAATAACTGTAAATTTGGGATCGGTTTTCTGGCCAATAGCTAATCCTGTATGAGCGGGGAAAACACTTGACTATGCACAGTACAAAAAAGCATTGAGAGAAGTCAAGATCAATTAGACCGAATAAAATCCCACTTTGACTGATTTCTTCTTTGATAAAGTGATAAAATTATAAATTAACCTCGCCACCAACAGCCCAGCCTGCTACAACAGCACCTCCACGACATCTAGTTAAGTGGAGGGGCATATTTCTACTCGAACAGTCTGAACTATAACCATGCCATTTAGGATCGGATTCACACTCATAAAGTGTCATATGATGGACTACACCTTCATTGCCTTTAGTTATGATGGGATCAATCTAGAAATTTGATGATTAGATAATTATAATTATGAATTTATTCTATCCCATTTTAATGGTCTGTAGTGTCGCATAAATTTTAAGATTCCTTCAGTATTAACTAGTTAAGTAATACTCTAGTTATTAATAATTGTGAGATAAGATTGTGTTTGCTAATTCTAGCAAATTGATCAAATTGGAGTGAAGTGATTTAAGCGAGGTCTTACACTGTCTTAAATTATTCTATTTTTTGAGCTATCTTCAATGAATGAAAAAAGCCATGTCAAAGAGTTCACTATAATATATGAACGGCTCCTACCCTAATGATATGATTTTTTTCCGTTAGTTCAGGCATCCTTAATCCTACACACCAATACGTGGTATGAGCGTTAGGTACGCTTACCTACATTATAATCAGTCCCCTTTGATTAATAACAAATTTATATAAATTTTTCTACCTTTGTTTAACGAGCAAGAGTATTATGTACAACACTCACGACATTCGGTAGCTTCACCGATGCATTTGCAAAGAATTAAAACATTGCCATACAGTATATGAAGACTTTCAACTGCAGCAATAACTGGCTTCAACTCGATGATTCTTAACATTTGCAGAATTCTAGTTCTCAAAATACAGGAGTGTTTATAATAGCATACTATCATCGCTATGGCTTTATGACTGATAAATTATTGAAAATCTGACTTATTGCACACTATACTAATATTATCCAAAACATCCAGCGTACTCATTAATTGTAATTGATGATTATTTTTCAGTCCGAGAATAAATGTTCTAAGATATCTCTTAACTACTGCTGCTGTGATTAGATTAAGCTGGCTCTTAACTCAAAAATCTTAAAAAGGTATAGATTTTTCTTCATTTATAAGAGAATTATGTAACTAAGCAATGTTAGAGCTGATAACTTAGTTTCCAGTTTTGTTTGAGCTTAATGCATACTGACAGGATCCATTTGGTATGGTTATAGCTGTAGCAAGCAAGCAATAAGTCAAATCAATAAATGTTATTAGCTATTTCCTTACGTTTGGTACTCTAAAATCATATGTCTGATAATCTGATGGCAGTACAGGCTTATCTTTTTCCGGCATCCTCTCAAACAGGTTTACGCTACGGGTGCCCATTTTATTATGCATTGGAATATTAGAAGTCGATACAGGATCCTTGTTATTATAGGCCCAAATCAATCTGGTTGTTCCGGTCTAACGAGATCAATTATTCAAAACATATTTTATGAGATGTTAATTGGTATAAGCTGTCATAAATAGCATGACTTACGTCTAATTTTAAATCTTTAGTATCTCCTGTATCAAACTTTCTCCAAAACTTTATTGCTGTTGTGCCATTACTCTCAGAGCCCGATACAAGTTTATAGTCTTGACTTGAATCTAACTCTGGCAATGTACGGCCTGTTGCATATCGATCCTATGGCGAAACAGAAAGAAAATTATTGCTACTCCAATCCTTTTCGGTTATAACGACATAGAATGATGTTGGAGAGGATACATTAGCTTTCATTATTTTAAGCGGAATCGTTACTAAGATTTCAAATGATTTTCACCTGAAGATAAGCTTTACCATTATTATCTACCCATCCGATAACAACATCAGATCCGGGCATTTTACCAGTGTAAGGGGATATTCCAAATCCTACCCATCCTGTCGTTTTGACATGAACTGTAAAGGTCATTATTTTTTGAGAACGATCGAACGTCCAGTCGAGTCTGTATTTTAGATCTTCATCCATAGATACATGGAACACATTTGAGTTTAAGATGTTTGAATCTGAGGCTACTACTGATACCAAAAAAGTAGCAACGCACAGGTAGGCGACAAACTTTATAGCCATACTTGGATTTGAAAGGGCAGAGTATACTATCAAATTAGATTTAAACATAGATTAGCCGAGATAAATTCATGAGCTGTTATAAAATTTATCCATTAACAAAGAGCCTCGCTTTCTTTGGAATACACATGCAATCTTCTCCATATAAATATGAATAATCTAAACTCATGTTAGAGAATGAGAAGAGATATCGCTATGGAAAGCTTTAAGTTTGTACTCTTTGTCTTCTGATCTATTGTCTAATTTCAAATTAAAATATCTGATAGCCTATCTGTCTAATAATTATAATCATATAACATGGACTATTGCAATCATAGAGTTATTTACCGAAAATTACGGTACTTTACCGGAACTACCAATTCTACAATATATGCAATTTTAAGTTATGTTTAACCGAAATAGATGTGAAAGACCTTGTAGTCAGTTTTGTTCTAGAAGATATTATAGTTTAAATCAGAGCTCTATCGACTGGGAAAGTCTTTTAGAGTCCAGTGATTCGGTCAACAAGTGAGAAACTAAAGTTGAAACTATTGCATGCAAATTACTAAAATATATCGATGAAACAGATGATAAACGATAGACAGTAGCCCTGAAGCAGTTTATGCTGTAATCTAATTTTCAGAAGTAGTCAATTTCGATTTAAGTGATGTATAAGTTATCAACTTCTGCATGTTTAATATTCAATAATTTAACTACGAAGAATAACCAAGAGGACATCATGGAGCCCATTTTGCCAAGCATGAAGATAAACTTAGTTCAGTAACAGTTTATATACTTTAAAGCATAAACGAAATGAAATTAATCCCAGAATGAAATTTAATTCGAATGAGAGATAGAAATTTAGAAGAAAGCACGATATAAATCTACTAGGTCTGATGACATTAGCATCCAATTTTAAAAGAAAGCAAAGGTACGGTGTTTAATAAGCTAAGGTAGCATAAATACTTCATCAATCTATTTCAGTGAAAAATAAAAGCAAAATAAAGCATAACAATTCTGGTCCATAATGTATTTTAGATAAAAAACACACTATTTAGATTTAATCAAGTCAGCTTAAATAGTCTCGATAACTACGCTCGCAAAGAAAAGTACTAGTTTTACATAGCACGATGTTATTGTAATTGAGTGATTAACTATTCCTAGCAAGTACATCAAAAATAAAATGTCAGTTCCACTACAATAAGCGAGATTCCATAAATGGTATTAGTATATTTAAATTCCGATGTAATTAATTTAGACTTAAGCTTTCTGTCGCATTTATGGCGTATGTCTATTATATTTTAAATTAAATCTTGATGGTATAATTAAACTAAAATTCCATAGTTATCAATCTGATTATGCTAGCAAAAAATCTTTAGATAATAAACGTACGGCAGTTAATGACTTTTTAAATTATTTGAGTCTACTTTCTGTATTTCTCATGCAATAACTATAACAAATAAACTAATTCTTAACGGAAACTCGACTAAATTGTCGAAATTGGGGTTATGCTATCCTCAACCATAGATTGTACCTGAATTTTTTCTCCAATAGAAATTTTTAAATGCCAGCAAAAATTTCAATTCACAGTGAATAATTCAGTTGGCTGTTATCCTCAGAGCTAAGTATGTTATAAGTTAATGCTATATATATATAAAGGTATTTTGGTATACTCACGTATGTTACAAAGCCAAATAAGTAGAATTTAATTTCCAATACACTTTAATGTTTCGAATCATACTAACTGCGATAACTTGAAAAATTACTACTTGAATAGCATCATTTTTAATACAGTACGGTATAATACGGATTTTTTTAAAAAGTCACAAGATTTAATAACGCGTTAGCAACAGTTGTTTTTAAAACAAATGATATGTTTACTGATAGGATTTTGATGAATAGAACTCAACCTAATTAATATTTCATTAAAACTAATAATCAAAACATATCATGTGACTGTAATTAGCTGAAATCACTACAATCACGTTGTAATTAAACATTGATTTTCTTGTTTAAAATATCTTTCCTATAGTATAGTATAATTTATATGGAGTAGTTTTATGTGTGCACGAATTATTAAAAAATAAAGAATTGGAATGTAATAGCCTCTTACCGGTGCATTTGAGGTTCGTATTTTGTAACTGCATACAAACTCCTAATCGCAAAGAATAGATAAAAGCGCCGTGATAAAACCGATCACGAAATTTTAAAATTTCTTAAAAATTTAAACTTTATTATATCTTTATACAAAGATAATCTACACACAGCTCTACTCTATTCGAATAGAATCACTAGAAAGACTTTTAGAAAGAACCATTGGAGTAACCTAGAGTTGCCTGCTTATATACTTTTCGTAGCATTTGCAGCAATAATCAGTATAACCACTTTCTACCTTATTTATACCTATCCAGATTATTATTAGTGACAACGTTTTGGAAAGTGGACTATCTATAATCTAACATAGTAGCAGCTACAGCATTTACGTAGACAATATTTCTACAAGCCAAGGTACGATGAACTAGCCATATCCTAATATACATTTGCCTATCTATTTTTACCTCTAGTATCAATTGTGAAACAAAACCCTGCTGTACGAGTATACAGTCACCTGCACTCTTAACATAAAACAAAGACGTAGAATTTTCAACTATAATCTATGGCTCTGAGCTACCAAATATGCTCTCAGCATTAAGTATACTTTTAGATAAATATAGAAAGTTACACTACCGTACATGATAATAACCATGGTAAATAATCTACAATCCAATGCTAACTTAAATTATATTATTAATGAGAAATAGTTGGAGACTATCAGCCACGGCCTTAACCTTTAAATGATCTGTGCTAAACATCTTATTTGGCCTAATTCATTACAGGAAGATGTACTGAAAATCACGGTATTTCTGAGCTGATAGTCACTGTTAGTGATGGTAGCGGATTTGGATTAAATTAGACTGTACTCGCATGGAAAACTGAACGATACGCTGCAGTTTAGAGCTGTTCTAATATTTCCATCTGTCTATATCGGCTGCGAAAATTAGATCGATCGTGGGATGTAGTAGTAACTTAATGTTTAGCAGAGACAATACCATGTGAGAAGATTTAGCCAGTTTTAAGTGTATCGAAGATATATAAATATCGAGCGATTATCAGTTGTAATAAATCTATTCATCTGCTTTCCTGTCGAGACTGTATGAATGTTTAGTAATACATCTAGAATATACAGATATAATTACGCGTAACATAATACCCGCAGACTGCAATAAGATTTGAATACTATGAGCACTAAATCGGCTTTGAAGTTAGATAAACCGTAGGAACATTAGCATTGCAGTAGAATTTAATTGGTTTTACGCCTAATACAGGCATGGTATTGAGTTATCTGACAGCACAAGAGTGTCTGTTCAATTTTACGATTCATGGTGTACAGGTTAACTGAATAATATAGAGAGCTCTCGGCTAATATAGCATAAGGAAATCTCATCAGTTTTAATGTGAATTCAAGCTACATAAGCACTATAAATTCAATAAATATAGTATTTCATTGCTAATGATAGTGTCGTATCCGCCATCTGATCAGCTTATGCGTTTCTAGGTTGTACCGATAAATTCTTTTACACTTTTGCTCCACCGTTTATATAGTATGTTGCTAATTGTACTTCAAAAGGAAATATGCAATATATGGCTGTTCAATCATATCAATTCACTGTAAATTTACAATTAAAAATTGATCAATAGCGATTAGAAACTCTAAATTGACAGTTGCAAGAAATTCTTAGTAGTTTACGTATACTCTTGCTTTACAGGTACATGATAAACTCTTTATCTCCTATTGCCTCAGATTATATTAAAAATTTTTCAAATATTATAGACCGTTGTAGCTGAAACAATTATTTTCGAATCCTATTTTATTAGGAATACAGATGATTTATTTTGGTGGTATACTTGCAAAATATGAATGCTATATCCACTGTGCTTAATTTTTGTATTATGGATATGATCGGATCACACGTATTATACATCATTCATCAATATCAAGCTACTTTACCGAATGATAGCACGCACCATAACTGAAAGGTATCGTCATAATTAATAAATCCCACTTACGCTAGGTTTACAACTGCTTGCTTAATTAAATAAGAAATCACGAATAAGCTTATAGTGAACGGTACGCATTTAAACTGTTGCGGCTTAAATTTCATGTAGATTAGCAGTAACATCAATACTAATAATTAGATCATTTTAAAGAATAATTTCATCTGACTAGTTTAATAACCTGATTTACTTGTAGTAAAATTGGAATAACTTACCAGAAAGCAGATAATATCTTAATCGCATTAAATTGATCTGTAACTTTATTGGAGATCTTAATACATGTTAAGTAATTTAAAGAAATTGACTAGCGTTAAGCAAGGTCCTATTTGCGACACTTTACATGAGTTATCGCCTTCCGATTAGATGACTACTTCTGACCTGTTTTACTGTTGAGTAATTTAAACGAATATAACAGCTATGTTGGTGCGATAATAAAGTGTTAACTAATTTACCCAAAAGTGGTAGTAATTTTTGTGAGACCCTCGAGTCAGTTTAACTCTCACGTTACAAATCTCGATTTGGTCCAAGGCCTCGTATACTGATCGGGTTGAAGAAACGCAAAGAATCAATTATAGGATAGTAAAATACTTAGTTCAAGTACATTTCTTCTTTAAGCCCGCCATCTTAATCAAAGAGATCAGATGATTTAAATAAGTCTAACTTTGACGTAGTTTTACATATAAATATGTGCACTTATTTTAGCTGAAGCATATAGTTACCCTAACAAAGCATCATTCTCGACTAATTTATAACTATCGGTTTAAAGTACTTCGTACTAGTATAATGTACCCATAATGTATTCTTAAATTATTATTTCGCTTTAACTGGCTAATTTTGGTTATCTCTGGGAGTAGTATATTGATATTACAAGCATTCTGTACATACTTCCTAGCTATAAGAAGTAAATTAATATTGTGTTACCACTACTTTGAATAATTAATGTAGAGCACGTAAGAAGTAACGTGCAAAATTTATACTACGAGTTGAGATAGCTGAAGAATACTTATAACTTACTTGTACGTCGCACTATAATGGCTTAATATCATAGGAATCAAATTTATTTCATTTAACCCCGCTTTACTCTACAAAAGAGGTAATCAAGGATTGTAACAGACACACAGCGTATTTTCATGTTACAAATTACTAGCTCACGTTAAATTTTGAAATCTTATATTCTAATAAAACACCAGCTATGTTTAGTTACTGATTATACTTCTTAAAATAGCTAATGATCTTCACCACAACATTGCAAACATGAAAGCAGGAGTTTAATTTAGTCACTTCGCTAATAGCTAATGATTGTTCCAATAAAAAGCAGATTACATGCGCCCGATACATATGGACATGTTGAACATCACATATGCGCGTGAGACGAGCTTTCTAAAGTACTAGCGCTGCTGCCAAAACTGCATAAATAATCAATGAAATCAGATTGACTGAAGTTGCTGTAATAGCAGCATTTATAGCCGATCCTGTATAATTCACCGATGGTAAGAAATTAGGAATTTTTTGGCCATAGTGCTATTTGATTCCAATTTTCAGTCATGAAGGTAAAAGTAAAATGGAAATTGATCAGAAATTTGAGTAGAAACATACTACGGATACATAAAATGAAAAATATTATTATCCTTAAAGGCGATTAAAAGTCTATTAAAATTGCATTTTTAGCTAAAAGATCGGTAATCCTTGACTATAGAATAAATTATGACACTGTATTAAGATAACTTTATTATAAAGCGAATGATATTACTTACATCCATGATGATCGAAAGGTTATGACCTGCACAAAACATTTCTGGAGCACGATATGTTTGTAGGTACCCAAGTTCCTTAAGCAATGTTTTATCCCTTATCGCAGTTTTTCTAACTGCAGCTGCAAAATCTTTGGTGCTATTTGAAGCGGGTATAGGCATTTTACCTTGTCTAAGAAAAATTTAATTACAAATCGATAGGTATAGATCATATTCCATTATCCTGGAACTCAAATCGGAGTACTAGAACTGATTAGTTAATACACTGACGAATAATCAAGAAAGATTACAGCAGTTTGACGTAGTGCCATAAGATTTAACAGCGAGATTAAATATTATTTAGTATCGAAATTGCTAATAAGAATAACGGTAGAGTATGAAGCATACGTAGATGGCCATGATTATTTCCCTTACCCCATAAAGATATAGTAGTACAATTTTCGTATTTAATAACAAGTGAAAGCTTAACTTCATATAGTAAGCGTGATGATAGTGCTACTACTGGGACTTGAGAATTAACTTTACTACATTGCGTAGCCCATAGCACAGAAGAAATCTTCACTGTCGTAATGTTTTCTTAAAATGGAAGAACTCACGGATAGTTGCAAAAATTTCATACATGATTACATAACAGAGAAGCATTTAAATTATTTCACAGCTTAATGTTGAAAGCTGCTGTTCCTAAATTACTAATTGTCGAGAGCTTAAGTAATGTTAACTTTAACCACTGCAAGTTTATCTGTGTTTACACAAATTACAAGTAGTACATTTATGATGTTTTCTTTAGTATGAGATTGTTATCTCAGTTTTTCTTTAAACGGCAATAATCGATAGATACGTTTTAACTTTAATTAGTATACTGTAGATGTAAGCAGATCTTTTTCATCTACTAATGTATTTTACATTGATTAAAATCTACTTTTTACTTACCAAACAATTAAATTATTGCCAATAATATATGGTAATTTGTCACATAAAGATAGAGATACTTCGCTGGCTACAGTATACTATTAGTTTGACCTCTATATATTTTTGCTTATTTTTGCTATAATGGTAGATTGTTATAACCTAGCAAATGAGTATGGATACGTATTTCTATTAGTAAATTTGCAAAGCTTGAAGGTTTCAACCACCCGAAAAGCTTTATTACTGTTAATATTAATTTACTTGGTAGTGCTACTGATATTGGAAATAAACATCACTATATTTTATCTTGATGCCTTGCATTGTGTTACCAGAAAAATTGAAATGGATATTTTCACAAGTAAAATCTATGGATTAATTAATCAGTTCGCGTTTACCATAGCCTTAGAAATCTACGCATGTAGATAAAATATTTACGGATAGACTTACGCCATTAATTTACCATAGAATGGGGCAAGATTAGCTGGCGATGTATATGTAACACATACTGAAAACGGCAACTTAGGATAGTAAAATAGGTTAGTAAGACACATTTCATCACTAGTTGCTTCGCCTCCCTAAATTATAGAATATAATTATACGTAGAATTTAGGATTAAAGATACACAGATGAATACTATGCTGAAACCTAGATACTTTCTAATTTCGTATTACTTACAATTGTAGTAGTATTACGATTAGTGGTCTTGTAGCTGCAAGTTACAGCAAATGAATCTCCCTATGTAAGTTAAATGGAGTCAATTGTGAAAAAGCCATAGGATTATAACATGGAGCCATAATATGTACCCTACCGGAAATATTTTGACTTCATTTCTCAAATATAAAATCTCCTACGAAAAGAATAGACAACGATACTTTAATAAATGAATTTTATCTTACTTTTCTTTTCACATTATTTTCAGTCATGATATACCATTTACAATAATAGAATTGATTGATTTACCTGATAGTTAAAGTCATAATGCTTATTTTGAGCGAGTAATGGCAATTCTTTGCCATTTCTAAAGTGTCTTGTATATAAGCCCTTACCTTCACAACAAATGCATTTCAAAGGTCGATTGCAAGGAAAATAGAATAGAATTTTTAATCATAAATTATAAACAAGCCAACTGTGAACCGTCAATGTACCGTAATTAAAAATAATAGCTCCCTTGCTAATACAGTATTCTATGTATACCTGCTAAATGAGTATGAAAGAATACACCAAAGACGTTGATACCTGACTTAGGTAAGGCCTAACAGAAAAATAAAGAATTGCTCAGGTATTACATAACTACTGTGCAATCATAATACGAGATATATGCTAGTACTATTGTAAAAATATTATGAAAATATAAATTTAAGCAATTAAAGTCTTTACCCGTTCAGTGCACATTTGAGGACAATAACCGGTGATATTCCATTCGTCTTGTCTTTCCGGGATCGTCATCGTTGGTATAACCCCATAGCCCAAAGTTAAAGCTCCTACATCGTATTTACGTAATTGTCGAGTATAAAATATTTTGAAGCCGGAAGTATCGATAAAATCTGAGAAAATACCATGATCAAAACAAAAGATAGGAACATTAAAGACAACGTTAATATTTTTGTATATTACATATACTACCTATAATAAGCTGAAATAAGTTAATCATAAGCAATTAGATAACCACTCACCTGATCTACCTTGGGGATTATCATAGTGCATCTCAACAACTGTAAATTTAGGACTATTTTTACCCCCGATAGCCAATCCTGTATGAGCTGGAAAAATATTGGACTATGCCCAGCATAGAAAAGTAGAAAGATAATGTAACATCGATAAGAAGGAATAAATCTCCCTTGACTGATTTCTTTTTTTGATAATATGATAAAATTGCAGACTTACCTCACCACCAACGGCCCAACTTGCTATAACAGCACCAGCACGACACCCAGTTAAGTGAATTGGCATATTTCTACTCGAACAGTCTGAACTATAACCATGCCATTTAGGGTCCGAATCACATTCATAGAGTACCATGTGATGGACTACGCCTTCATTACCTTCCGTTACGATAGGATCAATCTACAAATTTGACAAATATAATTAAATAGTTAATATAGTGCGTTTTTCCTACTACGTATCGGCAGTCAAAAATCTATTTTATGTGCTGACTGCAGTAGAGCTGTTACATAAGTTATTGTTTTCAACATGTTGTATATAAGTAAATTAGAAGTAAGTCTGTAGAAGCAAATCTAAGTTCAAGAGTGACCTTGTCCACAATCTTTATATTGTATACGTTATGCAAGTATCATATTTGATAAGCAGCTGCTCTTTTTTCTTTAGAGTTAAATCTGAGTCGTTGATTTAAGATTTGTAACTGTGATGAGAAATTTTTCTTTTCTACCAGAGTTTGTTGTACTATCACTTATTATAGTATCTCAAATCGATGGAGGATTGGTAATAAAATTCATTATTGTAGAATCGCTCCCCCGAAAATAGCTTAACAGATTGTAGGAAGTCATCAAGTGAAATGTAAAATTGTAAGATTGATACCGTGCCTGCAAGATCGTAGATTTACTGGAATCTTAAGATTGCGTTAAGTACGTATGCCACTAAATAGTTAGAGTAAGTATTATAGTGTAGTACTGTAGTATTGGTTAGGAATGTCTTATTAAGGTGATTGGATACCAGAAATTATGCGAGTAATTTGATGTTAGATTAATTAGAAATTATAGATATAAATATGGTTGAATCTTAATGTTTGTATTATGAGATTTCATCTCCAGAGTTACTTAAATAATTAGTTTTGTTCATAATTGAAGAAGTAGTTTATATAAAAGTGAACATTATAAGTTATCAAATCTTAATTATTTCTGATTTTGAGACACGTTATTACATTTATGTAAATCAAACATTGAGTAAAGTTAGTACTGTAGAACAGGTTTTGTCGCAGTAAGCTATCATTAGCCAACATAAAAAGCCAACTCTAAGAATTAACTTTAAAAGATGAACCGTTCCTACCCTAATGACATGATTTTTTTCCGCTAGTTCAGGCATTCTTAATCCAACACACCAATAAGTAGTATGAGTTCTAGGTATGCTTACCTGTATAATATAGCAATCAGTTCCTTTGATTAAGCAAATTTGCATAAATTATTACATTACCATCCTTTTCAAGCAAAAGTTTTCTGCACATCATAACTCAGGTCAGTTAAGATGCTTAGTGATAATGCATCACTCACAATTGATAAAAGTACTATACAAAAAACTTTCAACTATAGTTAATGACTGACTTTAATTCAGTGATTCTCAGCATATACAGAATTCCACTTCCCCAGAAATAAAAGTATTTTATGATTGCATGTTATATTATTATTGCTACTGCTTGTAAATGGTAATTGAAATATGATTTATTATGTACTAATTCTGTCCAAAACATGCAGTATATTTATTAATTACAATTTTATGACTATATATTTATAGAGTATCTTTTCAACCATAGAATATCGGTGAATGTTCTAAGGTACCTCTTAACTACTACGGCTATTTTGATTAGATTTAGCTGATTCTGACTAGAAAAATCTTAAGATAATTGTTTCCTTCCTTTATAAGATTATTCTACGATTAAACAAGGATAGAGATTAGTAATTTAGTTTTTAGTTCAATTAGAGGACTAATAATTATAATAACTAGATCTGTTATAAATAGTATTAGCCATAATAGGTGAATAAAAAGTAAAAACAATAAAAGTTATTGGCTATTTACTTACGTTTGGTGCTCTAAATTCATGTGTTCGATAATCCGATGGCAGTACAGGCTTATGTTTTTCCGACATCCTCTCAAACAGATTTACACTACGAGTACCCATTTTATTGTGCATTGGAATGTTAGTGGTCGATATAGGATCATTATCATTATAGGCCCAAATCAATCTGGTCGTTCCGGTCTAAGGAGATCAATACATATTTATGAGATATTAAGTAGTAAAGCTGTCATAAATAGGATGACTTACATCTAGTTTTAAATCTTTAGAGTCTCCTGTATCAAATTTTCTCCAAAATTTTAGGGTCGTTATGCCATTACTTTCAGAACCTGATATGAGCTTATAATCTTGAGTTGAATCTAACTCTGGCAATGTACGGCCTATTGCATATCGATCCTAAAACGAAACAGAAATAAAATTAATTAATGCTACTCCAATCCTTTCCGGCCTTGATGATATAATATACTATTGAAAGACCGCAATAGCTTATCATTATTTCAATCGGAATTGTTATTAAGATTTTTATCTATTCTCACCTGAAGATAAGCTTTACCACTGCTATCTACCCATCCGATTACAACATCAGATCCTGGCATTTTACCAGTGTAAGGAGATATTCCAAATCCTACCCATCCTGTCGTTTTGACACGGACTGTAAAAGTCATTGTTTTTTGAAAACGATCAAATGTCCAATCGAGTTTATAGTTTAAATCTTCATCCATAGTAATATGGAACTTTCGAATTTAAAATATTCGAATCTGCAGTCACTGTGGATGCCAAAAGAGTGGCAGTGCATAGGTAGATGATAAACTTTATAGCCATCCTTGGACTTGAAGGTATGGTGTATGCTATCAAAATTAGATTCAAACATAGATTAGTGAAGATAAATTTCGCGGAATGTCGCAATTTGTCTTTTACTAGTAAAGAATCTCCTGCTTTTCCACATACACACATTCACTCTTCTTAGGTATTATATGAATCAATCTAAGCTCATAATAGTGAATGGAAAGTGATATCGCTATAGACAACTATTGTATTTGCACCTTTTGTAGTAAAAAGAGACTTTTAACTTGCTACCGAACTTGTAAGTAAATTATCTGACAGCTTTTCTGTCTAATAATTATGATTAGTTGCACGCAAGCTGGACCATTTCAATCATGCAGTTGTATGGAAAAGTATGGAATTTCATAGTAATTACCGATCCTATTATGTATGCAATATTACTTTTGACCGAAATAAATACAGTAGATCAGGAAATTAATTTCATTTCATTTCATTATAGAAGATATTGTAACTTATATCGGTAATCTACGTACTAAAAAAGTCCTAGAGTCCTGTAATCAAGTCTATATATGAGAAATTAAATCGATTTTGTCACGCATATATATTATAATATTTCTACAAAAACTGATGAGAAATAATACGAAAATAGTCCTAAAGTAGATTATGCTATAATTTAATTTTAGATATAATCTAATTGGATTTAAGTATTGTATAAAAATTATTAATTGGAACACTTTTAATATTCAGGAATTTAATTACGAAGAAAGGTTAAGAGCATGGTATAAAGCTAATTCTGTCTAGAGTAGCTGATTAACTCAGTTCTGTAATAGATTAAAGGATGAGTGATATAAAATAATCCCATAATGTAACTTGATTTAAATGACAGATTTAGAGGAAATCAAGATGTGAATCTGTCAGCCTGATGGTATTAACACCCAACACTCGAAGAATACCAAAAATGCGAAATTTAATTAGCTAAGGAAATATTTCTCCTCATGAACCTATTTTAGCGAAATATACTAGTAAAATAAAATACAAAAAATTCCTACTTCACAATATATTTTAGATGAGAAACAAACTATTTAGATTGAATAAAAATATCAAATCTATATTCTCAAATGGTCTTGATATCCATAGTTGTAAAGAAAAGGGCAATTGTCAAATAATATGATATTAATATACTTGATCGATTACTATTTTCAGCGAAACACATACAGATACAAAGTCAGTTCTACTACATTAAATAAGGTTTCATAAAAGATATTGGTATATTTATAACTGGAATTAGTTAATTTAAACTTAACTTTCTATTACATTTATCGACTTCTTTTATTATCATTTTATTAAATTACATGTCGATAGGTAATTCAAAAAATTTTACAGTTAGTCAAATTGTACAAGAATAAAAATCTTTAGTTAAAAGAATATAATAAGTAATTGTTTCGAGACTAATTGCTTTACAAATCTGTATTTCTCGTAAGTTACTTCAAGTAGGTGAGCTAATTTCCAAACAAAACTTAGCTATACTATTGAATTCAATTTTTGCTATCCTAAACCATAAATTTTACCTGAATTCTAATCCAAATATGCAGCTTTGAATGTAAGCGAAAAAATTTCAAGTAAATAATTTAAGTGGTTGTTTTTTGCAGAACTAACAGAGTCTGTATTTGTTGCTCAACCCGATACTTTATTTAAACCCTGGGAATTCTTAGACGAAAGCATTATTTACATACTGTAAGCTCTAATTTGAGTAAAAATGTCTTTTGATGCAGTATCGTACAGATTGCTTTCATCGAGTCAAAAGTGATGAAAATTCAATGTCAGCAATTCTAATCTAAATAGTGAGTTTGTTGATTGAAATTTTATTGATGGAATTGTATATTGTTATAGGATATTGTTTATAGAAGCTCTATTTCATACTGAACCACTGTATGTAGACTGATATTCTATAGTAAATCTTACGAATAGTTAGTTAAAGTTTTAATTGTGGGTGCACGACAGGGCTGAGCTATGGTTATCAAAGCCAGCTTGTCATTGCAATTTTTATTCTTTGTTCCTATATTGCCTGGTCAAAGTGTTTAATTAATGTGAAGCTATTCTATCGTAAATAGAGTAGTCATAATTTTTGTATGGTATGCAAGCAAAGGTGTACCCTATATTGGTTTGCAGCTTGCCTGCCAAGCCTAAGGTGTAGTTGAGGCAGTATAGAGCTTAGTCCCGACATAGTTCTAAGTAGCGGTGAGTTAAGTATATCATTACAATTTCCTTATTATTATGCTGAAAAGCTATCCTACGTTATTAGTATTTTGTAGTTTTAATCTTTGTACTCGTGGGCAAGTATGTACTTCTAATAATAACAAATAGCTTAACTTGAGTAATACAAATTTACTGAATCAGTAACTTTAGCTCGATTAGTGTTAATTGTACTACTTTTACCTACTGTACGCTAAGAAATGGTAATGCAGATACTTTTCAAATTGACTTTACTTTGTAGATGTTAAATATTAGTCGCCTTATGGTTGCCCTATTTTCATACCAACGACTGTTATAACACACTGACAGATATAATTATAACTGATTCTTTAATTCTTCATTGATAATAACAAAGACGAAGCTACAAATGGCTTAGACATTTGAATGTGAAGCTAACCTTAAGGCTATGCTGCTCCTACACTAAGAAATGTTAGTGTAGAGGCCTTCTAAATTGACTACATTTCGTCGATAATAAATATTGATTGTCTGTCTCTCGATTGCCCTGTTTTCATATGAACAGCTACTATAGCACATTCGCCAACATCATTATAACCGACTCTTTAATTCTTCTCTAATGACACTTGAAATGAAGCTACAACTATGTAGCTAAGACATTTAAATGTGGATACCATGAGGCTGCAGAGGCCATAATACTATTTTAATTATCTATTTAGTGATAACAGAAGCTAGTCTTTGACCACATATCGAAAATACTGTCATGTAGGTAGTAATCTTAGGACATTAATTCTGCTATTGATACCGTATAGGGTACCATATGTATCACGCTAATCGTAAAAAAACAAACTGATGTTAATGATATATTGTATTACAGCCATAATTGGAATAAGTGACAGGATAAATCTACTAGAATTAGCATAACTTGGAAAAACTAAGATAAATAATAGAAAGCTACGACGATATGAGCTAATGTCATGACAGAAGAAAACGTTGAGATACTGAAACCACCATTGGTTGTATTCTCCATCGTATAGTTAGCGACCGATTTAAAATTAGCCATTCTTACCCCAAATCGCTATAAGAATTCAGTAAAAATAAAATGATAGAAGTTAGAAACAATTCTATCTGTCTATCTTATAATACTGTAAAGTAGTCATTTTGAATAATCATTTTGGTCAGTATTTGATTTTAAAACAGACTTACATCGAAGAGCATAGTACGGTTTCCATAAGCGCAATACATCGCTGGCGGCGGATAAGTTTGGACGTTGGCGAGCTCCTGAATCAATTTAGGATCATCAAGTGATGCTGCACCAAGCGATTCATACAAACCAGCACTTCCATTTTGACTAGGTATGGGTAATATTCCTTTCCTATAAAATATTTCACCATATTTTTATATTATGAAGAAATTTTACCCTGCATACGAGTATATGCATTAAGTACTATGTTACAGCTGTCAGTAATGTTAACATTCATGCAATAAATATTCCTTACCATACACAAAAAATCTAAAAAGGATTTGATAATAGTATCATATATTTCAAATAGCTCAATAAGCGAGTGCTGTATAAACAACTTATTACAGAAGATTATCAGCCTTTCTAGCGGTGATAATCTTTATTATACGAGTACGATACCTCCATAGCTTAGCCAAGTAAGGACCCAAGGCCTCATAAGCTGGTTGAGTTGAACAAGCTGAAAGATCAATTTTAGGGTAGTAAAATACGTAGTTCAAGCACATTTCTTCCTTTGTTGATAAACCTCCCTAGTGTGATTTTGGAATAAAATTATTGCATGAAATTAGCATAGAAAAATGGACTCATCTTATGAATAAACGCTAAATTAAATGAAAACTCAAGTCCTTACCAAGGTTAATTTTGTGCGATTTTTTGTTTTATAGACACAAGTTACCGACATAGTATCTCCCTAGCAAGTTAATATAATATTTTTATTCATGGCATATCTTATTTAATTCATACGAAAATAATTTAAAAACTACATACTGGCATCATATTAACTTCATCCTTCATATAATAAAGTTCCTAATGGATAAAAGATAAATTATAACACTTAGGAAATTTATTTTTGGCCAAGAGTATCGATCATTACTCATACTGAAATACTTAATTTAGGAAATAAACTGATAACTGTTATTGTTACTTAAGTTAGCTAGGCATCAAGTTATATGATAATTGTCCATATTACTACAGGCATGCCAATTCATCCTGAGTTGATAAATTTACCTGATAATTAAAATCATAGTGCTTGTTTTCCGCAACCAAAGGTAGCTCTTTGCCATTTCTAAATTGTCGAGAGTCAAGAGCCACTCCTAATTATCAATGGATGCAGAAAAAATGAAACGTATTGCTATAGCTAGCGGATTATTTTTGCATTAGAAATCAGTATCGAATGTCAGAAAGTATCTAACTTATTATCAGGCACGCTGAATTATAGAATCTAGTGAAAAGTAACCTCGCTAATTCGAGAGTACAGACAATTTTTTCAGCAGTAACTATATACAAGCCTTACCCATACTGCCGCAGCATACCGTTATTTGATATTATACGAATAGAAAATATTACAATAATATTACAAATCATTAAGTGTAGTAATTTAGGTAAAGATTACTGTAAGTCTCGTTGAAGTATTACCGAAGTCATTGCTTAGTTGCAAGAAATAAATTATAAAATAGTCGATACTACCTTAATAACTAACGGTTTTCAGTCTTATCTAAAATTATACCAATATAAGATTATAGTCTTTTAAGCATTCTATCCCTAAAATATATTCTTTGTTACCTGCTAAATGAGTATGAAAGAATAATGCAAAGATGTTGATGCCATTTTTAGGGAAGATCTAGTTTTCCAATTATATCAAAAACATATTTAAACAAATTAAATTCAGCACAAATCTTTATTTAAGTTCTATTTAGTGTAAGAGTGGGTTGAAGTAAGATTATATTTTATTTTGAATCATAGAACTTATGAGTGTGAAATGTACTGATTTGCACTCAATGCGAATAGCATAAAACGTAATTGTTAGAATAGAAATGGAATTGCATACCATACTGGTGCATTCACCGGAACAATAGCCAGTAATATTCCATTGCATTTGGTTATTTGGAACAATCAGGAATGGAGATACAAGATGGCCCATGATTAAAACTCCAATATCATTTGGACGAAGTTGCTTGGTATAATAAATTTTATATCCGGAACTATCAACGATATCTAATTTAAGTTAGATTAGAATCATTAGCAACCGGTAAGTGTAGATATTCGATATAATAAGCATCTCCTACCTTCCTAATATGTAAGAGGGATAAGTTATTGCAAGTACAGCATAATCTAGTGAACTTGTTCTAACCAGGACTTAAACTGTAATATGAAATTATACTCATCAGCTTACTTGATTTCCCTTCAGGATTATCGTAATGCATTTCAATTACTGCAAATTTGGGATTATTTTTACCACCAATGGGAAATCCCGCTTTAGCCGGAAAAGTTATTGACTTTTTGTGTGTAAGATAAAAAATATTAGTAGAACATTTTGAATTTCAATATTTTTCTCAATAACATTTGATTTGTGACATTTGATGACAAAGAAAGCTCATACTTCTCCTCCAACGGCCCAACCAGCCATAGCCGAACCGCTGCGGCAATTTCGTAAATGATTAGGCATATTTTGGCTATCACATTCGGCTGCATATCCATGCCATTTCGGATCCGATTCACATTCAAATAATGTCATATGATGAACTACACCTTCATTGCCTTTTGTAATAACAGGATCAAGCTATATCAAAAAGAATTTAGAAGTTTCGCGAGCAATTAAATCTTTCAAGTCCTAGAAGTTCATATACTATATTTATCCATATCATAATTCATTGTAATCTGGAAAGAAACTGAAAGAGTCTGCGAGACATAATAAGAATATGCCACGGCCATAATTTAAAATCTAATTACTCCATTGTAATAGCTAAAAGCAGCAATCTGTAATATTTAATTAATATTGACCTTGATAATATGATGCTTCTCAGTTACTTGAGGTAGCTTGAGTCCTACACACCAATATGATGTATGCTTGCTAGGCACAGTAACCTACAAGGTATAAAGTATGCAAACAAATATTGGCAATAGCACGTAGTACAGGATCAATATGTTCCTTATCAATAGTTTGCTAGTACCCTCAATATTTCAAAATTATCTTAAAATCAAGGATTATTTGTATTTACCAAGTACTTTAATTCGTCATTTTTAATATTTTCATGTTTCTATGTTATTATGATTATAAAGTGCAATTATCATCATTTTTATTCATATTTATTCTTAATTACATTGGGAGCAAGGCAATCGTAAGTTTTAGTATCGTCTGGTAGTTTCGGCTTGTCAATTTCGGGCATGGCATTGAATAAATTAACACTACGACTACCCATTTTATGGTGCATTGGAATGTTAGTTTGGGATGGCGGATCATTGTTATTATATGCCCAAATCAATCTGGTTGTTCCACCCTAATTCAATTAATTAATAAAATGCTTAGTATCACTTACATTAAGTGCAGTATATTGCGAAAGAAAAATTTATTTTACATAATTTAATCTTTAACTCAAGTGATACAAGTACAGTAGTTATTAAGATTAATTAGGATACTGCAGTAGCCTTCCAATACTATTTATTACTTCTAGAGGTAAATCCTTGGGATCCTCCGTATTAAACTTTCGGCTAAATTTTAGTGTAGTCATTCCATTCTTTTCAATGCCTGATATCAACTTATAATCTTGATTATCATCCAATGCTGGTAGTGTTCGACCATTGGCAAATCGATCCTATTTTAATGATAATGAATATACTTACGTATAAAACTTTCAAAGGGCTTACTAATTCGAATCATTTTAGCCTACGTCAAGTATTTCACCAATCTTAGGCTCTTATTCTCCAATTTATTCTAGTTTATAGTTTGATTATGTAGCTTTAATTGCACATAATAATAGCAATGTTTAATCTGCCCACCTGTAAATAAGCCTTGCCATTACTATCAACCCAACCAATGACTACATCCGATCCAGGCATTTGACCAGTATATGGAGATATTCCGAATCCTATCCATCCTGTTGTTTTGACTTCAACAGTAAATTGCATAATCTTATCTTGATTGTTGAAAGACCAATGCATACGATAATTTGAATCTTCATCCATAGATACATGATACTGTTCCGGTGTTTCTGCAGTTACTGCTATCAGAAGTAATGCGATAGCATGAAGGTAATAAATCCACGTCCCTGCCATACTATTTGGAAAAGTTGATTTAAAATATTATACGGACTACTATTATTCTCAGTAGAGTTTTGATTGTATATGATACAATAATATACCGTTGAGCTCAAATTTAAACTTTCCTACTTAAAACTCTACACGATTTTTATCCTACCTCCAAATGTGTTTTAACCTTTTCTAACTACGCAGTACTTTACGTCTAGCACATCCCTTGAGTTCATCAAGCTCAGTCAAGGGAAGACAACTATTGTATATTAAAAGTCTAGATTTAAGAGAATCCTTTTTATATTCGCTGGTGAAGCTGAATTTTAGCTGTAATTGTACTTAATGACTGCATAAGTTGCTAATGATTAAGCTACAGCTGCATCATGGCTTCAAGATTTCGTAAATTTCGTACCTGCCAGGCTACCAACAGTAATTACTTCAATCACTATTTTACACATTAACATTATCAATTACATTTGAAAACTGAACATATAGTTAAATAGCTTACTTAATACGCTTAATTAATTAATTAATATAGAAACTAAAGAAACGTAATCTTTTTTATGATATCTATCCTAATATTAGTAAATACGAAAGAATTCAAGAAGCAATCGTAATTTATTTTGCTCTAATAAGAAACCAAATATAACTCCTAATCAACTCCAAACTGTAACGTTAACAAAAGTACTCGTATTACTACTTGTTACTGCACTACGTTGCCTAAATTATAGAGTTTAAGAAAGTATTATTGCAGACAGTGTTTCAGTATGATAGTATATTCTTATTCGGCATTCTATTCGGCAGATTAGGGTAGTAACCTGTAGAAGCAACTCAAGTAAGTGATTTACATTAAACTAGTAAACTTATCAGGAAGTAGTCCGTGAAACTGACTATTAACTATCGAGCTCAACTAATATATAATCATAATTAATACATTTAAGTGACGTCAAATATAATAGCTGTAATGCCAATAAAATCCTGTTGATTATTTAGTTAAGATCATGAATAAACAATGGAGATCGGTAAAATTCTCACCATTATTGAACATTTAGCTAATTTAAAGTCACGAGGATTACACGAGCTTTTCTTTGTCTATTCTGTATCCATATCTTGAAGGTTAATTGATTAATTCCTGTGCAACTTAAACAAGCATCCTTCATATATGCGTAAAACTTTGACATGCAACATCAGTTACCGTGTTCATATTTAGACTAGAACATAATATTCGTATACAACGTATAATGTAATCAAAGTATACAATACATTTTTTACTGGAGATAATTTATATAAAAATTGGATTTTAACTGAATCAACAAGTGATAACTTCATAGTAAATGGCATGAAATATTTCTCGTTTATTTCTTACGGTATTCATACTATACAGTACAGTCATTTATACCAATATTGTTTATCGAAAAGGATGTAATTTAGACTTAGATAGTTATCGTACGATAATTCGGCTGAAGTCTGAATTTAGAACGATCTTACATGGTTTAATACCACTAATTAAACCATGAATAAATAGCAAAAAAAATTTTTGTTTATCAACTATATTTTGCCATTTAAAGCTAGCTTATAGGAACAGTCTTCACGCTAGGGGATGCAGTATGCTGTCATGCAATAGTTTCGTAGCGCTCTCGAAGGCCATAGCTAATAAATACATAAATACTGAAATTTTATACACTAGCATCAAATTTGTAGAGATTTCAACTTATTTAAGTAGCATTGTATTTAAAAGTGTCGTGTTAATATGAAATAAAGCAGTTATTACGTTTTCGAAATCCTTCTACTTTGTAACGTGGAAGATTCGCTAGAAATCCCCAGATGAGTTTAGTAGAGCTAGAGTGTTCAATTAATCATTAGGCAAAAAATAAATTTCTAATTCTGCTCTTAAGGGTTCACTTGATACAAGTATAAACTCGCCTTATTGATAAGTTTGATAGCCATTTTTTCTCTAATATGTACCCAAGGAAATTTTTTAAATTACTATTATATCCCATAAGGGTAAACTATACATGTCTCTAATGGTACATTGAAATTTTTTGTAATATAAAACAGGAATTGCAAATAGTTATATTCTACTCTATGAGCTTCTCTCCAAAAAATATATTTTAAATGGATCTTTAAGAATAAAAGCTGGGGAGTTCAAGAGTATCAATACGGGTGGCTACGTTTATACGCGTAGAAAATTATAAAGCTGAAGAGTTCAAGAATATCAATACGGACAGCTACGTTTATATGCATAGAAAATTATAGTACCAATTGGACAGCAAAAATAGCAAAAACCGCAACGGAGAAAATCGCGGAGAAAGTAGTTGCCACTCCAGTAGTATTTTATATTGTACAATTGATAGCTGGTTTAAAGTTTTGTATTTTTAACCCATAACGCTAGATAGAAAAATAGATAAAGGATATGATCATTCGTTTGCTTTTCAGTATATTAGAGATATCATAATTGCAAGACTAAATCATAGAAATACTGGACTACATACGTCAAATAGCATGGTGCGTTTCCTAAAACGCACTACATGCCGGGTGTAGAATAAGTCTGCACATTTTTGAGTTCCTGAAGCAATTACGAATTATGAAGAGTTGTATTTAAGAGAGAATTATAGATGCCTCCAGTTCTGTTTCTGATTGGAGTAGGCACTAAATCTTTCATAAGTAATAAGTCAGTAAATAATGGATTAACCTTTACTTACTTCAAAATTCCAAAATGTAAAGCTTATACTGCATGACTACCTTATATAGCGGTAATAGGATACTATTAAACAACTTTCTAGTTATCTTATTTTCCAGCTAGTAGTAAAACTTTAAATATTAAATTAGCTGTAAGTATTTTCATCGAAAAATTGAAATACTGATTATTTATAAGCATCTTCACTTCCAAATACATTAATATGCGAACCGCTTGCTTCTATTGTATACGATGAAGTTCGAGAATTACTAGACTTTTTCAAACTATTTACATTCAGACAATTCACAAATTTTAGATACAAACGACGGAACCGAGGTAATTGAATAAGCAAGTCTTCTATTACTTATATCGTTACTCAAATACGCTACCATAGCTGCGTGTAAAATATACTAGACATAATTAGTAAGCAAGAAATTCATTAAATTGGCCGTTTACGTACAATATGATTGTTACGGGGTAATTTTACGTAGCAGTTGCAACACAGATTCCATAAGATAATCTTTCTAGGAATATATTTACGTACCGTTATCTATGACATTTTACATATTTTTAATAAATCGCTGCATAGTTTTATAATCTATAAAGCAATAATTACTGTTTACATCGATTCACTATAAATTGACTGACTTTTCAATAAAGTTTGGATTCAGTTATGTCTAAGCACGTCTAAGAGACTAGTAGTCTTACTGTTTCTCCGGACGATAAGAGATCGTCAGTATTTAAAGTCGTGCTGTAGGTTAATGTCATGGAGGGCAAATCTGACAGTAGATTCGTACAATAATTTCTATAATAATTTTAGCATTTCTCTCGTTATAAATTTCGATTTGTAGCAACAATAAATTAAGAAAGATACTCAGTAAACTAATCAGCCTACTTATAACATTCTACAACGATAAAATACATTTATTATGTTCGATATTACATTATTTCCCAGTCATTTGCTTTTCGAATTATTCGAAATCTTTCAGCATTAATTTCGATTTCATGCTGATTGTTTATGTCAATTTGTAACACTAACTTCTGTAGCTTGCTAAGAAATGGAATTATATCCTTAATCCAGGTAGAGTTGAACACGTTCCAAAGTTAATTTTTGGATAATAAAATGCGTAATTAAGGCCCATCTCTTCCCGTGTGGATAAGTCTCCCTATTGCCAATTTAAGCATAAACTTATATTCGCTTAATTTTACACTGTATATTAATGCTAACAAATACAATGTTATTTCCAATAATTAAATGACGCCTCGAAATATTAAAGGATACCTGCTACTTACAGGCAGTATTTAACCTCCTTTTTCAGGTAATAAAGTTCCTAGTATAGTATTAATTAAAATTATACTATATTATCGGCAAGTTAGAATACTATAAAATTTGGATATTCAGGCCAAGATTATGTTTTATACGCATTTTAATCATTCCTTTGTAATATTAGGACCTCTTATTCAAATTAGACAAAGTCGTAAACATACCTGATAGTTGAAATCGTAATGTGGATTTGTTGAAATTGTTGGTAATTCTTTCCATTTCTGAATTGTCAAGCTTGTAAAGCAACACCTAATAATTATTTCGAATTAAACAATATTTACATCATGAATTCGATACGTAACAGGACAGAATACTTTGATTTTCAAATAATTTGCAGAATATCGACATTTAAACAAGTTGTAGTTAGATCTACAGTATACTTAGTTTAGTTTGTCAAACTAGCAAGAAATCGATAGAATCGATAACTTATAAATGTTGATTTGATAAATATGAGCATACAGTAAGCTGTTAGATTGTTAATTTAATTAATTGATTCCATGCAGAGAAGTGGTTACATGACGGTCATGCACGAGAAGGTACTAACTCGCAGTATGTAATAGTTTTAACATATCAAACTAGAAATTACGTTGTCGATGAAATTCTATCTGCAACTAGACCATCAGCCACACAACCTAGAAGTCATTTGAAGGAAAGTGAGTTTGATTTTTGGGCTTTCAGTAACTGGTTTAATTTATGCAGATTTTAGTCTGTGCATGGTATAATTAACCGTTTGATCTTCCAGGATGTTACAAGTCGCTTTCTTACATGTAAAATAAGTACACAAATAGCGTCATAATAGTGGTTATCAAGCTATTTATTAACTGGCTAAAGTACGAACTAATAATAAATGCATTACCTAATTTAACCTCTACGGAACCTAGTGTTTACCATTTACCGTCAGTAATAGATAACCTACAATATACGAATTAACTATAAATGCATTTCCTACTTTAACTTCTGCAGAATATAGTATTACATTCTATATCAGATCTTTGGATTTCCAGTGTTACACTTTCTACGGAATTTCAATGTAGTGGTTCCATTTACTTTAAAATCAGATAATAGAGTATAGTCCTGACTACTATCCAAAGTTGGCAATATCCAGCCAGTGGCAAATCGATCCTATATTATTAAGTAAAAAGATGAAATGACTTTTATTAGCTAATACTTTAAAATCACAAGATATGAGCTGTTGCTAATATTACTATTTAGAGCTGTATTTCGGAAAAGCAGGTAGTTAGGCTGATTAAAGGCTATCGATCTTGCATTTTAAAACATTTCAACAAAGTAGATCATCCTAATTTACCTGTAGGTATGCTTTCCCGTTGCTATCGACCCATCTAATAACTACATCAGATTCAGGCATTTGGCCTGTATAAGGCGATATTCCAAATCCTACCCATCCTGTGGTCTTGATTCGTACAGTAAATTCCATTGTCGAATCTTGTTCATTATACGACCAATCCAGAAGATAATTGAGATCTTCATCTATGGAAACGTGAAAATTTGCAGCTGTTGTTACGGATACTAGTAGCAAGACAGCGCAGGTAGAGCTCTCTAATTTAGACATGGTTATACTTGATTCTTGTAAAGTCTAAGGTATGAAGAAAATATGATAGATCATTATTAGCACAATTTTAGCCATCATCTCAAGCAAAGCCAGAAAAATTAATAGGACTAAAAAATGCCAATGCGTATATCATTTTAAAGCATTCTAATTCGATACGATTTTCAACAGAAACGCATGTAGGAATTTACATGCTAAATAGTTTAATACAATACAGTTTTACTTTCTAGTAGACTAATTACAACGTTTTCTTAACACAAAGAGAAGAATCAAGTTTGCAAAAAATTGAAATTATTAAGTTTTTACATCAGCAACAGGCTGTATAACTAGCGAACTATTTATAATTTTTCTACTTGATTCTAAACGGGATTATTCTTTATATTAGATTCAACTTGAGCTCTTAGCTGATAAAGACTAGCAAAATAAAGAATTAATCTACTTTCTAATCGTTTTTACTGCGCACTATTCTTTTTCTGTAACTTATGAGGCTCATGTGGCGGACGTACCTTCAACTAAAAGACGTAACGGTAAATTCATCTGATTACGAGGTTTACATAGATAGCGACTTTCTAATCTGTAAATACCAAAACTATAGCAGTAACGATGATACCTTAAAATAAGGACGTAATGGAATCTCAAAACACAACTATCATATATGTAATGTTAACATTATACATGCAAATTAGATCAGGGTTAATTACCCAGGGGCTAAAAATGACCTATTAGAGAGCAATTACTGAAGTAGTATTGCCATATCGCGGTAGATTTTTATCCGATATTTTTGTATTTATTTCCAGGTTACTCAGTGTTGAAAAATGGTTGATATATTGTTGGCTTTGTTTGCAATAAAAACATTTAATGATGAGGATATGGCTTACGGTACAGAACAGATAACCTAGCAAATTCGCCAGCTGTATCTATGACGTAACCACTTTATGGTAATGATATTGATTCTGTAAATAACGATTCCATCATCAGTAAGAATAAGGTCTTTATCGACTAAATCAGACTGTAAAATAACTTGAGATGCATTGTTCCAGCTCAATTAACCGCTGATGATGGCGATAAACCGTTGCACCCGATGGTCAGATAATTAACGAAAAAAAATTGAGGCTATATCTTGCATGCGACTATGAATTGATGAAATTTCACTATTTTAGAAAATTACTGTAGTATTCATCCAGGGTTTTCAAGGATCCATATTAAAGACCAGTAAATGTCATCCTTGAAATGGTTGATAAATGTTTCGATTATTAGTTTCAAATATGTTGACATTAATGGAGGCCCATGATTGGGTGCGTTGCTGCGCCTAACGAAGCCCTGCCGAAATATTGACAGTTCATTTTAATAGCACATTTTTATAGGGTTAACTACATCGAATTCAATTCTATTCACCACGTTGCTATATTGCTCTCTTAAAACAGTAAGTGCCAGTCATGTATTACATCTTAAGTGGATGATTTTGTAAAGTATCGTAATGTAGTAAAAGCTAAATCTATGAAGTATGTTAAAATACTAAAAGAGAAAGTAAGTATTACAGCTTCACCAGCCCTACTGTACGTTCAAATTGTTTACCTCAATATTAGAATTATCCTAATAGAGGAAGTCAAACGAGTCTTGTTTCGGCTCCTACTTATTCGCATAGGTGTCACATTGCTTAAGATTTCGCAAAGCAGACGGCAGTGCTCTATCGACCGTCGTAAAGCTCATTCATGACGAGAAGTAGAAACCCTAAATTTAATTCTGACTCGGTTAACATTTTTAAATACTTATATTACTCTCTAAGCAAGCATCGACATTGATTAGCATTTTTAATTACGCCTTGATTTCATATACATGTAGGCCAAAAAAATGAGTCCGTTAAGAGCATAAATCAGAATTACGTTTGTTTAATAGGGTTAAATTTACTAAACAATAAAATATATTTATACTGATACGCCAATTTGCAAATTAATTATCAGTAAAAAATTATTATTACATTACGCAATCTTAAATTCATGTTTTAGTGTCAATAATTATGGCTAACAATTGCAAATTTTGCGCTGTTATCAAATTAATTGCCTTAAACCAGGATTGACAAGCTCAATAGCTAACAAAACAAGAAGAAGACTTTTGTCGTTAAGAATTGATTCAATGCAATATAGGATTTCAATTATTTAGATACTATTTGATAAGATACCATGACACTAAGCACTATTAACGAATTGGATTGATTATTTTTTGGTTAAAATCATACTTAATCATAGTGCAGGTCAAAGCAGTTATTAAATCGTCCATGATTTTTAATAATAAGTTGAAAGCTATGTGAAATATCTAAAATTTATTTAACTTCACAACGGATAAGAAATATTATCAGGGATAGTAATCAATATACTCATAATCAGTATACCCGTAATCAATTATTTATGGAGCAAATATGATAGCCAGATTACTGCTATTGATAGACATCAAGATAATGGTCAGTCAATTAATTGGCAAATATTAAAATGATAGTAGTGGAAAGAAGAGCTAGGACGGTATGAGCCGGAGAGATGGCTGTAGACTCACTAGTGGAAGGAGTGGTGCCAGTAACGTCGTTAGTGTAGTTGGCAATTGATTTAAAATTTGGAATTGGCATATTATACCGCTAAAAATATTATTAAAATGACAACGTTAGATTAAAATATTAAATAGCTCTTGCCATAGCTACACTTAGAGAAAGATATACTAAAGCACGACGACATAGGTATACTAATGTATAGCAGCTAGAAATATGAAGCTAGATA